GAGGCATCCTGACCAGATGTCCAAACCACCTCAACTGGCTCCTTTCGATCCGGAGGAGCAGCGGTTCTACTCCGAGTCCCTCCCGAATGTACGAGCTCCTCACCCTATCTCTAAGGCTGAGCCCGGCCACCCTACGGAGGAAACTCATTTCGGCCGCTTGTATCCGCGATCTCGTTCTTTCGGTCATTACCCAAAGCTCATGACCATAGGTGAGGATTGGGACGTAGATCGACCGGTAAATCGAGAGCCTGGCTTTCTGGCTCAGCTCCCTCTTCCCCACGACAGATCGGCTCAGCGTCCGCATCACTGCAGACGCCGAACCAATCCGCCTGTCGATCTCCCGATCCCTCCTACCCTCACTCGTGAACAAGACCCCGAGATACTTAAACTCCTCCACTTGAGGTAGGACCTCTCCCCCGACCCGGAGGTGGCAAGCCACCCTTTTCCGGTCGAGAACCATGGTCTCAGATTTGGAGGTGCTGATCCTCATCCCAGCCGCTTCACATTCGGCCGCGAACCTACCCAGCAAGAGCTGAAGGTCAGAGCTGGATGAAGCTAGGAGGACCACATCATCCGCAAAAAGCAGAGACGAGATTCTCCTGCCACCAAACTCGACACACTCCACACCACGGCTGCGTCTAGAAATTCTGTCCATAAAAGTGATGAACAGAACCGGTGACAAAGGGCAGCCCTGGCGGAGTCCAACCCTCACTGGGAACAGGTCCGACTTACTACCGGCTATGCGGACCAAACTCACGCTCCTCTGGTAAAGGGACTGAATGGCCCTTAACAGAAAGCCACCCACCCCATACTCCTGGAGCGTCCCCCACAGGGTGCCCCTGGGGACACCGTCATAAGCCTTCTCCAAATCCACAAAGCACATGTGGATTGGTTGGGCAAACTCCCATGCCCCCTCCATCACCCTTGCAAGGGTATAGAGCTGGTCCACAGTTCCACGGCCAGGACGAAAACCACATTGCTCCTCCTCTATCTGAGATTCAACTATCGATCGGACCCTCCTCTCCAGTACCTTGGCGTAGACCTTTCCAGGGAGGCTGAGGAGTGTGATCCCCCTATAGTTGGAACACACCCTCAGGTCACCCTTCTTAAAGATGGGGACCACCACCACGGTCTGCCACTCCCTAGGAACTGCCCCCGATGACCACGCAATGTTGTAGAGACGTGTCAACCATGACAGCCCTACAACATCCATAGCCTTGAGATACCCAGGACGAACCTCATCCGCCCCCGGGGCTCCGCCGCTGTGTAGTTGTTTGACTACCTCAGCAACTTCTGCCCCCGAGATCGGACAGTCCATCCCCAGGCCTCCCAGCTCTGGTTCCTCCTCAGAATGCGCATTGGTGGGATTGAGGAGCTCCTCAAAGTATTCCTTCCACCGTCCGACTATAGCCTCAGTTGACGTCAGCAGCTCCCCATCCCCACTGTAAACAGTGTGAGCGAGTTGCTGCCTTCCTCTCCTGAGGCGCCGGACAGTTTGCCAGAACCTCTTTGGAGCCGATCGATAGTCTTTCTCCATGGCCTCACCAAACTCCTCCCACGCCCGAGATTTTGCCTCGGCAACTGCCACTGCTGCACCCCGCTTGGCTATCCAGTACCTGTCTGCTGCCTCCGGAGACCCACAGACCAGCCACGCCCTGTAGGCCTCCTTCTTCAGCCAGACGGCTCCCCGAACCTCTGGTGTCCACCAGCGGGTACAGGGGTTGCCACCACGACTGGCACCGGCCACCTTACGACCACAGCTAGCAACAGCCGCCTCGACAATCGCAGAGTGGAACAAGGCCCACTCGGACTCAATGTCCCCCACTGCTCTCGGGACGTGGTCAAAGCTCTGCCGGAGGTGGGAGTTGAAGACCGTCTTGACAGGTTCTTCTGCCAGGCGTTCCCAGCAGACCCTCACTATGCGTTTGGGTCTGCCAGGTCCTTTTGCTGCAGCCGTAAATGCAATTTTACGTAATAATTAAGAGCACGAAAGTAAAAAAAATACAGTTATTCACAATACAAGCAACAGCAGCTACCTTGTTTTACGTGTTGGAGTGACGTATGCGGAACACAGTTCTTTAAATGAATGATAAATGAGCCGCACTTGTATAGCACCTTTTAGAGTGAGGACTCCAAAGCGCTTTACACTACAGTGTATCACTCACACACACATTCACACACTGATAGTGGTGATGCTGTCTGGAGGAGAGGATTTTTATTTTCTGTAATGATTTATGACAAAAGTCCTTAACTAAATGAAAAACTGAACCCAGTTCATATTTACATAGATGGTAAAGTGTAGTTATACTGATTTTCTACTATTTTAATGCTGAGCCTGGCCAGCACCTTTACCTTTTATCTCTACAGCTGATATCTGTGACTATCGTGAATAAATAGTGAGTTCAGGCACACCCTGCTGCTCCACCTGATTCTCAGGCCCATCATCTTCACCATCAGATACACCTGAGCAGATTCAGTAGCTCTACTGTTATTAGCTACATGTTGGAGTTGGATGGATTCTTCTTATATTCTTTAGCATGTTTCTGATTTAAACTAAATATGTGCCCCGTCAGGAGCCACAGCTGGAAGACTCTGGTAAACACATCTGGACCCCTGCAGGAAACTGTCAGCGGTGAAACATAAGAGCGCTCTGAGAACATGCAGACTGCATACACAGAGGCCTGAATGAAACAAACCAGTCTAGTGCCTGGCGGTTCTGATCGGGATACTAATCAAGGATAAAAAAAAATACTGGACCAAAGTAGTTTCACTTTCTCATTAATTGGTTTAACAGATATTATTTCATGACCGCAGGAACGAGACATCGGTTTTCCCAGGCCCTGAATCCAGCCCGCACTCATAAATGTCTGAGTGAACATTTCTACATAAATATTACATTTGTGCTACTTGTGTGAAGTAACGCCTATAGCTTGTTTCATATCTGCAGAATTTCTCTACGTCGGTCTGAAGGTGAAAATTAATCCAGAGTGGAGTGCCTCTGTGATTATTCAGCATGATGAATAGCTCAATGCAAATGCTTGAAGACATAAAACAGACATTTCTTAATAATAACATTAATCACGGCTGCTCCAGAGAGGAGTGGAAATTCAAACACTAGTAATGAAATCACAGCACAGCAGCTCCTCCACCCTGCTTTAGTTTCTGTATGACCCTAATGACAACCATGTCTGTTCCAATCAGCTCAGCACGGCTCCGCGCTCCATTTTTCAAACTTTATGACAGTTTTAATTGCTGCCACCTGCTGCACGACTATTAGGAGCAATTTCCCTTTGGTGCAGTAAGGTCACCTAGGCAATAAATTAGTTCCAGCCTGTCCATCTTCTCTTGGTGATGTATACAAGCACACACACACACGCGTGCGCGCACGCACACACACACACGCACGCACACACACACACACACACACACACACACACACACACACGAAAATGGGCACAGCAGAAGATGTTCATGGGATTATACCCACCAGTTATTAGATATGCCAAGCTGTTATAGGAGAAAATACTGAGGCTAGTTCCAAAACCTGGTGCTTTTTTCCCAAATCCTGATGACAATAAAAACATAAGCAAGATCAACAGAAATGCTAAAGCAGTTGGGGGTCACCATTAGGGTCACCATGAAACTGGCACACTTGTGTCTCACCGCATTCTTTAGACAGGATGACTGAAACACTGAGCAGGTCGTTCATCGCACAGGCAAATGTGTGTTTGCGCTGTTTTATATAGGAAATATGTGCAAACTATCATTTGTTGTGATATAACTCACATGCGATAGAGGGCTTATTATCGTGGATGGGCAGTATTTCAGTGTTTGCATGCAGTAAACCGATTCTACGGTGTAATGGAGCCCTCTTGTAACCGATTTAAGAAAACACTTTGTTGTAATGTTCCAGTTAAAATGTCCTTTGTTGTTATATCTGCTTAGTTTACAGTACATATGGTTTATACCAATACATATTATTTTTTCCATATTTTATACAGGTACACCACACACACACACGCAAACGCACATACACACACACACAAGTTTGCATCATACCAGTTGAAACGAGTGGAAGTAATAAATGAGGTTAAACCAACCCTTGGAGTAGTTGCAGCCTTACTGACCAAAGACTGAGGTCAGACTTTGTACACTAAGCATCCAATAATATGTCACAAGTGGTCCTTCGAGCCAGATGTACACAGGCTGTGCTATGGCTACAACCAGAAGATATCATGAAGAAGTCCCAGCCCCAGCAGAGTGACGCATCCCCAGACATCTGGTGGACCATGAGCTCAGCTATCCATCACAACTAGGGATGCTCCAATCATGTTTTCATTGCCGATCACAGAAACCGATTCCCAAGAGAGCTGATCACCAATACAGATAACATGGATTGTGACTCCATTGTTCCAAGTGTTTTGGAGATGGTTGTTGCCTCATCCTTTGGTATTCCAAAGTTCAAATTTTCTGCTTTTAGCTCCGGAAGGGAAAGTGGCTTTCTGCTGGAGTCACATAAAACTGTGACTCAACATGATACATGTGACAGCCCCATCTAGTGGACAACTTTTGTTTCTGCGAATACCTGTAGTTATTGTCCACTTTAGTTCTCGAGGTGAAATCATCAATGTATCGTGATGTTGACTTTAGGCCATATCGCCCAGCCCTAGTCAGCCAGGAGCGCCACAAAAATTAACACAGTTTTGACGATCACGTGATCGGGTGTTGTTTGAAATCGGAATTTTGGTCCAAAAACGATAGATCATTCAGCCCTAGCACAGAGACTATTTAAACAAACAGTCTTAACAGTTTTTGACCTAACTTTGGAGCCAACTCCATCAACATTTTTTGAAGTCTAATTATTGTTTAAAATGAACTGAAAACCAACATTTCTCTATGACAGAATGACGCTCTGCTAAGGAACCCTAAGTAAACAACAGCAGTCTGACACAAAGCTGCATGGTTCAGACATAGGGAAGACCCAAAGAAATGCGTTTTACCCTTCTAGCAGGTCCATTGTAGAGGTGGCTGTCTCAGCATAGAGCAGGGTGTGCCCTAGATGGCTGGTCTTCAGATTTTTGCAGTACGTTTCTATGCTGAAGTTCTCCATGTCCCTGGACTCTGTGATCAGGGCCAGACAGCCTTCAGGTTGTAAAGGACCATCATGAAGCTCAGAAGAGGACATCATTCTGAAAGTGGTCTTGAAGATTTTAATGAGGCCACTGGAATCTGCCCGTGTTTGTAGGAACTTCAGGAAGGTGGTCTTGGCCTCCTGTATGGAACAAAGAAAACCAACGTTTCAGGTATTCCAGTCAATTGTTCGTTGGGCAGCTGCACTAGCAAGGAAACCCAAACGATCTTCTCCCCTGAAACCTCCATCTGTGAGAGCCAAAGGTGTTTGTTCCCTGGTCAGACTGTAGATTTAATCCCTCCAGCTTGTCCTGGGTTGGCCAAGGGGCCTTCTGCTAACAGGACATAGTAGGAATACCTCCTCTGGAAGGTGCTCATGATCATAGGTAAAGATCGGACTGTAAGTCAAGTAAGCACTTTGCTGACTAGTAAAGCTCATTCTTCACCACAACAGACCTGTCCAGCAACCACATGACTGCAGATACTGCTCTAATCTGCCAGCCGATCTCCCACTACCTCCATCCTACTGTAACGAAATGAAATGACTGTTTTCCACCTAAAAGCCATTTCCCCCCTCTCTTCAGCAAGAACTAATCTGCATGAGATATTGTTCAAGGTCTCATGCATCTGCTTCTAATCTGTTTTCCTTTCCAGCCCAAGAGAAGAATGAAGACAAAGGACTCTTCCTTTTTAATAAATCAAAGAACTCTATATTTAATAAGCTAATCAAACAAAGTGTTAGTCAACAATAAAATGTGAACCAATTTGTGAAATGAAAATATTAATTACTTGATATTATAATCCTACAGAATATAATAAGTAATAAAACTTTAAATCTTTCCACTAGAGACTGATCACACGAAAGGTTAAGCCACATCACACATTGTTTTACTGACCCAATCAGAATCTGCCAGATCTGACGGAGGCATGGTTTTGGTGGTGCTTTGTAAATCTGTTCTCTTTTCATTCGACCGTAAATCAAAACATCCAAATTATAAAACTATGCCCACGTCATCTTTAAAGCCAGTTCAAAGCGTTCTAGAGAAGTTGTCGGAGTGGCCAATCCGTAACTTTCCTCTTCAGCCAAAAGAAGCAACGGCAAGCTGGATAAAATCTGTTGCTGTTCCAACTGCTGCAACGGTTCTTTCAGAATAAAAGCTGAACCATCACAACCCCGTTTTGGGTCTTGCTTGATGCCAGCAAAACTGTCGTGACCCGGAAGTATCTCAAGATTGGTCTGGTCGGCAACCGCTGCTGTTCCTGCCGGCTTCAGTTCCAGAGAGGGTCAAGCTGGACCTCGACATTCCTGATCTAACGGGGACTTCCGAAAGGGTACGTAGGCTGACAGAATGGCGTCTTATGTGTTTATGAATCTTCAAATCAAAGCTTAGCGCGAAGACATCACCTTCACTCCCATCAGAACTAATCGTTTTTCCGGATTTGCTGGTTCTGAACAACATTCCACACTACACCATTCTCCATCTCAATTCATCTTAGTTACACCATACATTTAGTGTTTAAAGTTAGTCTAGTTTAATTTGTTTAGTAATAAATCTTTAAACATTTTAAACTTGACTCTTTCTTTTGTCTCTGAGTTAATACGAAGTTGTTACATAATCCCTGCAATAAAAAGTTCCAATCTTCTGGTTAAAAGTACTCAAAGATCCATAAGATTGATTTCATATTTACTATGGAATCTCATGTCTTATGGTTCATTAAATAATATGTATATTAAATTCTTACACTACCTAGAGCTGAAGGTTATTTTTTGATGGAGCTAGCAACATCTGCAAAGCACAGAGAAGAGCTCCTCCTGCCACCAAACTTGACTCCCTCTACCCCAGGGCTGTTCCTAAACATTCTGACCATTTAGGTAATGAAAAGCCCTGACAGAGTCCAACCCTCACTAGGAACAGGTCAGACTTGCTGACTAAAACATAGACCAGATTAACACTTTATTGGTAAAGGGACTGATTGGTCCTGAACAGAAGGCCATCCACTGCCTACTCCCTGGATCCACAAAACACAAGTGGACTGGTTGGGCAAATTCCCATGCCTTCTCCAGCACCCCAGCTGGGGTAAGGAGTTGGCCTTTGGTTCAAAGGCCAGGACGAAGACTACAATGCCCCTCCTCAATCTGAGATTGAGCTACCCAGTAGACCCTCCTCTCCTGTACCATGGAATAGAAATTTCCAGGAAGGCTAAAGAGTGAGATCCCACTATAGTTGGAACACACCCTCTTGTCCCATTTTTGACAATGAGGACCACCACCATAGTCTGCCACTCCACCTCGACATCCATTCAGTGTTGCAGAAGCATGTTGTTTCAAAAACATCTACAGCCTGGAGGTACCCAGGATGGAGGTAGTTATACCCTGGGGCTCTGCTGCTGTGTAGATGATCGACTTCTGCTCTAGAGATTAGTTGGTCCATTTCTAACCACCTAAAGGTACAGCAGCTCTGGTTCCTAGCTGGAATATGTGTCATAGAATTATGACTTGAGCGCTTTAGTCATCTCACATGCTGTGTTTAAACTGCGCTATATAAATAAAACTGTATGGTATTTCCTCAAAGCAATCAACCATCTAGCTCCAACAGCTCCATAATCCTAGTGTACACAGCGAGAGCAAGTTACCGCTCTCCCCAGAAGACACCGGATGGTTTGCCAAAACTTCTTTGGAGCTGATTGATAGTTATTCCAGATATTCCATATTTGTTTATTTGGTAAAACTACAACACAACTACAACACACACACACAGGATGTAATTCCAGCAAATGATGGATTAATTACCTATGAGACGGCACCCAGTCGTACCCTGTTACGTGTGGTTAGTGGTTGGTCTAGCACCATGCTTGCTAATGAGAAGCCTTTTTTTTGAGACCTAGGTCGTTGGGAACAGTTGAACCTGCTCCACAGTGCCAGGCACTAATCATGGCAACATGTCCTCATACATAAAACTTGGAACTGTAAGGGTGGGCTGTTTTGCCGATGTCCATCTGATGCAGAGTCACCCGTTTAAACTTACCTGAGACGTGGCCAGCAGGTAGACGGGACTAGGGGCCGGAGTCTGGTTTGGTTCGCAGGTGAGACCCAGAGAAGTGAGAATCTCTGTCAGTATCTCATATCTCAGTGCATTGTTGGCCTTGATCTCATCAATGTTCTCTGAATCCAAACTCTGTGAGTCTGGCCCCATGTCAAAATGGACCTGTACAAATAGAGAATTTGGGAAGAGGTCACTGTGTACACACGTTCATTTATTCATATAGCTCTGTGACCGTTCCACTTACAGGGAGGTTTAAAAGAATAAAGCTGGAATCTGATTGGCTTAAGTCACTGCATGATAGAGTGGGAACTCTGGAGATCGTTTGCTGATCTGATAGTATCTCCAAGATAAGGACTCCGGTCAGAGAGCAGGGCACGGAGAGACAGTTTTGCGTATTTATTGACTGTAGAAGTATGAACCTCTATACATTTCTGTGGTTTTGTGTGGTATATTAGTCATGAACGCACACGAGGCTGTCTGCTATCACCAACAGCTTGGACTACGGAAGAAACGCTGTACAGGAAGTGACGTCACAAACTGGACCACCAAAATAAGTGTGGGGTAATTTACAAATGAAACTTCTATGGAAATGAAATAACCGTAACCCTTTCCGACATAGCCTCCCCCGAGTTTAGCTATAAATTTGAAAACTAGAGGAAAGTCTTATCAGGTGTTTAGCTAGATTCGTCTTCATCTTCCCAAGCTGGTAGGTGCACTGGGCGCACATTGGTCGAAGCCATGTGGAGAAATCAGACAGGGTATAAGTCTGTCCCTTGATCCTCAATTCAGCTGTCCTGACTCGACCGTCTGAACCTGGACATGTCTTGACAATCCTCCCGATCTGCCACTTGGCTCTGGGCAGTTGTGAATCAACCACCATCACAACTTGTCCAGCTGCAAGATTGTCTGTATTCTTGTGCCACTTGTGTCGCTTCTGTAAGTCAGGAAGATGATGGCGAATAAAGTTGGACCAGAAGTGGTCTGCCAGGACCTGGCTGCGTCGCCATCGCCGTCTGCCCAGGAGTTCGCTGGAAGCGTAAATGGCTTGTGGAAGTGATGCATCACGACGTCCCATGAGTAGTAGGTTTGGGGTGGTTGGGTCTGGGTCAGCAGCATCCGAGGAAATATATCCAAGTGGCTTTGTATTGAGAATTCCCTCCACCTCAATCAAAACGGACTGCAGAACAGATTCTGTGACAGGAAACGGAGGCTCTCCACATCCCGTTTCTCCACAGGAAATGGAGCAGCAGCTTGTCTTCTGATAGTAAGCAAACTTGGAGGAACATCGACCATTAACACCCTTTTATGTTCTTGAAGGCACACGTCGTGGAGCACAGTAAGATGTGGTTGCTTACATCATTTACAGGGCTTCTTTAGAGTGCTAACCTCAGGTGCATGATTCCTGCCGCAGCGCCAACAGCTTCTGTCTTTAATCCATGTGGCAATCTCAGCTTATGAAAGAGCTTTGAATTTTGGACATAGGCTCAGGAAATGTTCTCTGGTGTCGCAATATGGACAGTAAGGCTTAGGACCGTCTTAAGGCTTAGGTGATCTTATATGGCCAGCTGGATCTGGAGGTGTGGCTTTAGCCTGGCTCTTTGTGTTGTAGAACACATTGGATGAAGGACCCTGAGGTTTATTCTGATTCCTCAGCTTTGGCTGATCTTGAAACATGTAGGCTGCTCTAGAAGAGATTCGCTTGGCTTGTGATTTCAACTGGAGCCATGTGGAGAAATCAGACAGGGTATATGTCTTATCAGTTCCAGTTATCAGGATGCCACAGTTCAAGCTGTACTCAACAAAGCTATCTCTGTAGTTAGCAGGCAATTTGCTAAGTGGCCTATCAACATGAGAGCCACATTTGAGTGGGAAAAGTTGTCAAATCCATCTGGATCACCAGCTCTAACTGGAGGTATGTTTAAAATGGCTCCCAGCTCAATTTGCACAAGCTGACTGGGTTGCCCGTATTTATCTTTAAGTGCCTGTAGGGCTGATGTGTATGGGTTAGGATCATACATAAAGGCTTGTGCTAGCTTATGAGCACTAGGCAGCTTCAGATGTTACAACAACACTTGATATTTAAATGGCTCTGCGAGGTGAGCATGTGAGCTTAGCAGGTTATCCAGAGCCATTTTTAGCAGTGCAAAGTCTGCCTCTTCTCCAGATGTGAAGAAGGGTAAAGCAGGCTTAGGAAGTCCATATGAAGTAGCTATTAATAGCTTCATTAGGTCTGTACTTGGTGCAGCAATTGAGCCTGGAGGAGGTGCTGTCACTTGTGGCAAAGGTGGCATGCTGGGAGAAGAATGATGCTACGGGACTGCATCAGGTTGTACTAGCTGTTGTTGTGGATAAGGCCAGGGTATATGCTGAACAGGGGCCTGGCTATAAACTGCTGGTAGCCTGTTTAGGGGAGCAGTGGACTGCGCTGTCAAGGCTGGTAGAGGGCCAATGGCTGTAGGAGCAGTGTGTGTAAGTCCAAGTGCACCTTGTGAGGGTGGTGGTACTCCCATGACGTCAGCTGGGGCCCTATGTTGGATTCACCTCTGCTATGCGGTCTTGAGGCAACAGAGCTACTCGTTTCCTCCTTTAGGAGGGATGTAATGACAGTCACTTTCTCTGACTCTATTTCCTTTTCCTTTAGTTTACGTTGCAGCATTAGCTGTCTGGTAATAGCCTCCTTAGCCTTTAATGCCATTTCTGCCTCTTCATCAAGCTTGCGCCTCTATTTCTTGTACTCTTAGGAGCTCCTCTCCTTTTCTGAGAGCTTCCCAAGCTTGTTGGTCCAGACGCTGGTACTGTTCATCCACCAGGCATTCCTCCATTATCTGTCTTCGCACCTCTGCTAACTCCATGCTCTTTACTCTCTCCTCCAACATCGCTGTCCGTATATCAGATAACCCATCAGTGAGAGGCCTCCTTGTTGACGAACAGGAGCTGCCCTGGGTCTTAGCTTTACTGCGTTGAGACAGATTGGCTTCGATTAGATGATATTCTCCTACTAGGTAGGCTAGGTATGGCTCCAGTAATTGCAACTGTCGTTGCACCAGGTTGATCTGAAGGATGAGCTTCATGCTCAGCTGGAGCCTGGGCTGCAGGATGACGGAGAAGTTAAGGTTGATAACCAACTTCATAGTCCTCCAGATACGCTGGTAGTCGACTCTCCCGTTGAGGTCTAGGACGCACTGCTGGGTCTGCAGATGATTGTCCTAGCTCCTCCATAATACCTCTAGATGACTATTGATCTGGCTCGAAGGACCATGTGATAAGAGTGGGAACTCTGGAGATCGTTTGCTGATCTGATAGTATCTCCAAGATAAGGACTCCGGTTAGAGAGCAGGGCACGGAGACAGTTTTGCAAATTTATTGACTGTAGAAGTATTTACCTCTATACATTTCTATGGTTTCGTGTGGTATATTATGGGCAATTCCCATCTGTACCGGGTCGGCCCGGGCCGGGTAGCCCCAGTCGGCCCCAGCCTGGCCCGGTTGATTCCACACATCCTTGTCTTAAGCCCATGTGGGCTGATTCTACCCACCAATCAGAGGCTTGCTCTAATGGAAGGTGTGAATTTACTGTCAGCAGTGGGTGTGTTGGCCCTGGTCGGCCTGAAGCAGACCCCCTCGAGAAGAGGGCTGAGAATGAGCCTTGGTTGGCCCGGAAAAATACCAGGCCACCCAGATATGTAAACAACCTACGCTACCCGGCCCGGGCCGACCCGGTACAGATGGGAATGGCCCATTAGTCATGAACGCACATGAGGCTGTCTGCCATCACCAACAGCTTGGACTATGGAGGAAACGCTGTACAGAAAGTGACGTCACAAACTGGATCACCAAAATAAGAGTGGGGTAATTTACAAATGAAACTTCTACAGAACTGAAATAACCGTAACCCTTTCAGACACTGAATCGGTCTCAGGAATCATGGTTTTTGTCCCCTTCTGTTGGAATATTTGTTTTCTCTGTTTTCCTTCCTTTTACACAAATAACCTACTTACGTCGATTTAAGTGTGTAACCCCTGAATGTTTAAGACACAACTTCAACTTTCAACCTGACCACCACCTATATTTTAGGTTTTTATTACATGGATAATCATTTTACTAGTCTGGCTTGGTAAACTAACCGTTTCTGATGCATGTCAGACACGACTTCTGCTCTATTAAATAAAAACAAGATCCACAAGGACTCATTCAAACTGCATAATCATTTAGGGGACCGTCCTTCACTACCTAGAAAAGGATGTGGGATCATTTTCTCAGTCCTTTTATTAACACTTTTAGTGCATCTTATCCTGATAATATCTATTTATTAGGATGTAACAAACAAAACAAGCAACATCAGTTAGAATAAATCCACATTGTTCTCATTTCTCTGGTCAGTCACCTCAAAGCTCACGAGGATCTAAACTAGGTGTGGTCATCAAGACCAGGTGTGATATAGTGAGTTACTGCTGCTGTCAGAGCACTTGAATTTATGGTTACTATGATAACGCAGCCCCCTGCATATCCACCCATCCTTTCTTAAACCCGTTTCCTGTTAGACACCAGCGCTGTTAAAACATTAGAAGATAATTACATCTCCAACCCTAGAGATAATTCAAATATTCCCATAATAACCTTCTTTTTACCTGACAAAGAACAGCTTCCCCACCGTCTGCACCGTGGGTTACTCTAACAATGGCCATCTCCCTCTGATGAGGAACTTCTCTTTTCAGCTCCCCCCACAGCTCCACCTCTCCACCTTCCTGAGGATCTCTGACGTAGACGTTTTCACATGCCAGGATGCTCAGATTCAGCTCTGTGCTGTCTTCTCTTGTAAAGATTAGCCTTCTGGGCTGCTGGCACGGCTCTACCCTGGCTTCTAGAAGGAGACCTGCTGGGCACAAAGTGGAGCCTAACCCCAGAACCTTGCCCCCTTGGCTTAGGTAGGTAAGAAAGCGTGTCTGAAGCTCAGGAGTCAGAGAATCCTCCTCTGCCAGCACCAGCAGCCTGGTGTTGTCCAGCCAAGGGTCGCTTAGTGCCTGTTGTGGCAGGAGGGGGTAGATGATGTTGTTTTCCACATTTATACATTCAAGTAAAAGCTGCTTAATTGTCTGGAAGCGCTCTTGGCAACCGCCTGTGTAGACCAGAACATTTGGTGTCTTGTTCTTACAGTCATCACTGGCGTCAAACTCAAGCTCGAGACAGCCGTCGACACTGTCCAGCCCAACAGAGTCATCATCGGGGAGGTCTGGAATGTTCTCGGCAGAGGCGTGTTTGACAGACAGGATGGTGCTGCTCTCCAGCTCCAAACATTCATGGCAGCTGGAGAGGTGGAGGTGGTGTCCATGGCCTTCCATGTGCTGATGATCTTCCAAACAATGTTCCTTTGCGTTACCAACAGGCCCAAGATCCTGGGTGCTGAGGAGAGGCTCCGAGCCCCGACGCTCCTTCTCTTGCTTCCTGACTGCAGGGATGAGGAGCAGACTGCCTTTAAGACAGTGCGAGAGCTGCTGGTCGGCTGGCAGCTGAGGATGATAATGAGGAAATGGCTTTGAAAGAAACCGGGAGCAGGAGACTGTCCTCTCCGTCTTTGGGTTCTGCAGACACTGTTTCTCCAGCAGCTTACTCAGAGTGCAATCTTGGAGGAGAACGGCTGCAAAAACACAAAAGCATAAACAGTCTTGCAGCATTTCTGCTTGGAACAAACATTCTTCAGCTGAATTGGTTGTGTTCTGCTGGCAGAATCAGAGTCCCAGTAAACAGCTGATTGTTTCAGCACACAACTACAAATCTACCCTCCTTTCTCACTGGTTCATCAATAACTTGTAAGAACAGAATCTACAAAGAAGAGCTGGATAACAGAGCTGTTTAGTATTCCAGACCTCCATCTTTCACATTGGCTCTTCGCCTACTCTAGGTGCCAAACAGCTTCGCCAGACCACTTTTACACTAACAAAAGTAAAATCCCAACAAAGACAAATTCATCCCACACAGGCTGGCAGGAAAACTTTCTTGCGCTGAGTTCTGATGGCGTTAAAACCCAAAATAAACAGAATTCTGTTCATAGCTTCTATGGAAGGGATTTCTAGGCACAGCCAAGGCGGTGAGGGTGGCATAAGGATTGAGTCTGCTTTTTGCAGATGATGTGGTCCTGTTGGCTTCATCAGAACGTGATCTCCAGCTCTCACTGGAGTGGTTCTCAGCCGAGTGTGAAGTAGCTGGGATGAGAATCAGCTCCTCTAAATCCGATAATAATAATAATACATTTTATTTAAAAGCGCCTTTCAGAACACCCAAGGTCACTTGACAGAAAACACGTAATAAAATACAATAAAACAATAATAAAACCCAAACAAGAAAAAAAAAAACAGAGAGAAACAGTTCAATAAAATCAGAGGTTGTAGGCAGATTTAAACATATGTGTTTTGAGTTTTGTTTTGAAAAGGGTAAAACTGTCGATGTTCCTGATGTCTGGGGGAAGTGAGTTCCAGAGACGAGGAGCAGAGCGGCTGAAAGCTCTGCTCCCCATGGTAGCGAGACGGGCAGAAGGAACCGCAAGATGGATGGAAGAAGAAGATCTGAGTGAACGGGACGGGGTGTGAATACTTATTAGACCAAATCCGAGACCCTGGTCTTGAGTCAGAAAAGGGTAGAATGCCTTCTCCGGGTCAGGGATGAGGTCCTGATCCAAGTGGAGGAGTTTAAATATGTCGGGGTCTTGTTCACGAGTGAGGAAAAGATGGAGCGGAAGATGGATAGTAGGGATGGGAGAGAAACTCGTTTTTTAGATGCATCGAGATGCGAACATGAACGATTATCGATCAATTTTAAAAAAGTTCTAATCTATTTTATTAATGACAAGGCACTAAAAGCAGAACTCAGCTAAAAGGAAGTCTGGAAAGGTTACAGTATGCACAGGACAACATGGCTGACTGAGGAATACGGCAAGCACCGCCAACATTAAAAGCAAACTCGGAGAAGGCTAGCAGAAATACAATAGCAAGTTTTATCGCGAACGATTAGCGTCTGTACGCAATTTTTTTCCTGTTTTATGCATTTATTTATACATTTAATTGAAGTTCTTGTCAAGGGTATTTATACTCTAAATGTTGTTGTCGAATCGTATTTACACTTGGAAAAGGACAGTTATTCATGTTCAAATGAACTGGACATCCAGCATTGTTTTGTTTGGAAGCTGTTAATGACAGCACTTCTTTTCTTTAAAACATTGGAAGTAAATCAATGTTTCATCATTACAAATGTTTTTCTTGAGTACCACATAATCACTCGGCAGCCAGGTGAGGGAGGAGAAAGATGCATCAATTATCGGAGCTCCCTGAATAGTAATCTAATCGAATCGTGAAGTTCCTGAAGATTCCCACCCCTAATGGATAGGCAGATTGGGGCTGCATCTGCAGTGATGCAGGCGTTGTACCGGTCTGCCGTGGTGAAGAGAGAGCTGAGCCAGAAGGCAAAGCTCTCGATTTACCGGTCGATCTACGTTCCTATCCTCACCTACGGTCATGAGCTTTGGGTAGTGACCAAAAGAACGAGATTGTTGATACAAGCAGCATAAATGAGTTTTCTCCTCAGGGTCTCTGTGAGAAGCTCGGTCATCTGGGAGGGACTCGGAGTAGACTCGCTGCTCCTCCACATCGACAGGAATCAGTTGAGGTGGCTCGGGCATCTGGTTAGGATGCCTCCTGGACGCCTCCCTGGTGAGGTTTTCTGGCACATCCAACCAGAAGGAGACCTAAAGCAAGACCCAGGACACGCTGGCGGGACCATGTCTCTCATCTGGCCAGAGAACGCCGTGGGATTCCCTCGGAGGAACTGGCCTACGGAGCTGGGGAGAGGGAAGTCTGGGCCTCTCTGTTGACCCGAAGACTTGACCCCGGATAAGCGGATGAAAATGGATGGATGAATATTTGACCACTGTTTCATCATGTATTGTTAGTTCTGTTAGCTGTGCTAGCTGCATTAGCTCTGTTAGCTCAGAGACGCTGAACTCATTCAGACATTTAAGAATGTTCGTATTTAAAGAGCAAGTCACCCCCTACCAGAGTCTAACTCCACTCCCACTTCATGTTTGAAAAATGCAACAAATGCCGTTGCCTGGCAGACCGAGACGGCGGAGCCGCTAACAAACACACACACACACGCTCACGACAGCACTGTGACATCATAATGTACCAGTTTACATCATAGCATACCTCTTAGCCAATAGCGGTGGCAGATTTAAATTCAAATACAGTGCAGAGTTTTTACCTGACAACGGCAAAACACTGACAGTTTTAGGCAGAATATTTAAATTTTAACTAAGATGCACTGAAGTGCCAAATTATTGACTACACGTGTCTGCAGCACGATTAGACACTCGTTTATCTAGTTTATCAGCAAAAAAAAAGTTGATTTGGTGGTGACTTGCTCTTTAAGACTTCTGATGTGAAAGCCCAACGCCGGTGGGGCCGAGCTGTCCGAGGCAGCTGTGTTTGACTACTCCACGTTCCTCAGGAGCTGATCTCATTGTAAAGACTGATTGAGTCCACAGCAACTATAGTGTTGATGAGAAACATCCATCCCAACTGTCACACTAATCTGGTAATAAGTGGCACCATAACACCGTAACTGAGCAGCATACAGTCATACGGCTAAAATGCAGCCTTGAATCTCCTCATTCTGTCTCAAGGACTTTTTGCATGTGGATCATAATAATAAGGTATTAGATGTCATATATAGAAAAACATGTAAAAAAAAAAAAAAGAAGATACATACGAATGATCTTTGAAGGCACTAGTCCATTTTCCAGCTGGAGGCGATCTTCAATAAACGCGACCCCGAGGAGGCTGAAGTTGTCTACACTGGCCTGAGCCACTGCCCTGAAGGGCTGGTCAGGACTGCAGGCCAGAGGGGAACAGTAGTCAGACCACTTCACCACCTGCACACACCAAAGGTCAGAGGTTAGGTCTGACATCATCATCCCTGCTAAAACAGCAGGATTCCAGCATGTATGGTACATTCTGGTTCACACACGTTCACACACACACCTTAACCCTATCATGATACTAGAAACAGGTTTTGTCAGACAGAAGGTTTAGCAGCATGCCGTCTGTGATTCATACTTTCTTGTTAGCTGCAGGAGGAGGAGGGAGGCCCACTTTGGGTCCTGCAGCTTCAATGATGAAGGAAATATTCTCTATTTGTGAAGAACAACCCAAAGAAGATCCCAGAAGAACGGTCCATTTGCTGAGGTCGTCACAAGCCTGAGGACATCACAGAACAGGACAGTAATGTTACGAGTGTAGCTAGTCCTAAACCGTCCCCAGACGTCCCCGTCAGCACCTCTTCATACTCTGGTCTTTACTCATCACCACAATCACTCACATCTGATCTGATGGAACCAAAAACCTGTGTATGGAGCTGTAGCTAACATGGTGTCTTGTGTCCCCCAGAGGAAGTCTGCAGTAATATTTCTGACTTGCTTTCCAATAACAAACAAACGTTGGGCTCCTTTTTAGTCAGATTAGTGACTGATGTTTAATGATGTTAGAACCAGACCTCGTGGTTTGAAGCAGACGTCCTTATGGGACACTGCACTTATTTATGCTGTGTATCCTGCAGCATTTCTACTTAGTTTAAGACTTTGCCTCCTACACACACACACACACACACACACACACAGACAGTAACAGTCAGTGCCTCCAACAAACACTGTGAACTTCATTTGTGAAACCAATAAAGTTTAGATACAAACAAGCGCATCAGGCACCTAAAATATTAGGCATGTCTTAATGAAGTTGATTAACACGTCTGCATCATTTAGGGCCCCTAGGAGCAGGGCCCGGCTAATTTCATTGTTTGGTTCTTTTATAATCAGAGTTTGTTTTTTCCTTTTTTAGCTGACAAGTTTCAGCCATCCTCAGAGCACCTGATAGATTATCTGTGTTTAGAAAAGAACCACACATTGGAGTTTGATGGAACGAGCTGTATGAGGTAAGGATTACTTTAGTATAAATGAGTATGGGGTCCCGATTGAGCCAACATATGTTAAATGTGCTGTTAATGTTGTGTTCTAGTACTAATGAAAGAGGAGTCAGTGGGTCAGAGCATCACACGTTAGAGGACATGAAGAGGGCCCACGTGGACGGGTCAGCTCGTGCCCCGTGTGCCACCCACCTGAGGCTCCGTCACACACACGGTCTTGTCTCCGAGCTGGAGGAAGACGGTGTCCTCCGGTTCCAGGGCTCTGGGCCGGTGAAGTCCAGGGGGAGGTGCTGAGGCCGAGCTGGAGAGGAAGCTGAAGCAGGAGCTCCGCTTGCTGCTCTTCCGTTTCAGCAGACTGTTGCTGATCAGCACCGAGTAACACTTGTGAAAGCGAACCCACATGTAGACGTAGCACAGCGTTATCAGCATCTTACCCTCCGCGCGCTGCTCTGGAGTTTAGGTTGAGTCATTTCAGTTACCTTTACGTCGCTGTCAAACTAAACCATCCGGGTAACTGTCTGCTGCTCTTCTTCTACTGCTACTTGGGCTGTCCACTTCCGTTGTTGTAGCTAGATGGATAGAATACGCCCCATTGGGCACTGGAGGGCGTAACAGCGGCGTCGCCATATTGGATAGGTCTCCTCACGCTCCAAAGTCAATGCAGAGTGAGTGAGCAACGGGATATTCACGGTAAAGTGAGCCCTCAGTCGATTTTGCTAGGCGCATGCGTTCACCGCTTTATGGTAAAAGGTCGCGCGACTGTTTTTCAAAATAAAAGCCCATCTCAGAAACGTATTTTCTGACCAAAACCTTTAAAAATGGAATTCAAAAGCTATCAAATAATAGTTATATGGCCGTTTTAACGGATATTTAAAAACATATTACAAATGGTGGAAATGCCTAAAAACTATATTTGACTATCATTTTAAGTGATTTAATACTATATTACAATTTGATGACCTCTCGTTATTCCTGTGAAGCTCCATTCAACAGCTTATTTTTAAATGATAAATTATTCATCCAAAAACCTGATCATATGATGCACAATATGCTTTAAGAATACCCTAAAAATATTTTTTATTCCGGCTTCTAGTGTGAAAAGGTGAAGAGTAGACCACCACTTGTGACTCCACGGGAAGTGTCATCAACATCTGATGTAGAATTTCAAAATTAAAGCACTTGAAATCTGTTATAAATGATTCATTCCTCTGCATTGAAGAAAGCCCCCCCCCCCCCCCCCCCCTTCCTTAAGCCAGCACCTGGTGTGGACAGGTGAGTACTCCGTTTTCCCCCACAGATCACAACATGCCCTATAGGTTATAAATTGTAAGTCACCAAATTGCCACCCAGGGCATGGAGACCCCGGGCCAGGCACTGCTGCATGTGCCCGCCTCCTTCCTGGCAGCATACATGCCAGGACCCGACCCCCAAGGCCCCACCCAGATCCCCACACGGAGCGGCCACCCCCACACCCCGAGCCCCCAGGCCCCCACCCAGACCCGCCCAGGGGCAATGCAGCCACCAGGCAGTGACCCATGACCGCTGCCAAAACCCCCAAGGGGCCCCACTCACACCCACCAGTAGTCCACCCCCCGAGGCAACCCAAGCACCTCCAGAGGGGGGCAACGGCCCCCCAGTCCCAGACACCCCCCAGTGAACCCACCTCCAGGGAACATCCGGATACTCCAAATTCAGACCCTCCACCCCCCCACTTTCTGGTGATCATTGTAATATGTGATTTGTTGCACATCCCTGATTTACCAGCAGAGGGCGCCAATGTGTTGGTGTCTGCTTTAGGACTTTCACAACTGGGTAATTTCTCCATCTGGCCTTACTAAACATTAAACTTGTTTATAATCACAGTTATTGAGCTAAACAGGACACAAACATTTTGACCCATGGAGGACACAGTTTTTTGTTTTGTTTTTCAGAATCAAAACCTGTTTTTAGTCAAAACTTTAGTGACATTGGTCCCACCAAAAAGATTATTTGGCAAAAAACCTGATCTAAAGCCTTCATATTCTCTGATTCATGTTCATCCATCCTAATCCTTTCTATGACAGATTAAGTCTTCTGAAGATGCATTTCAGGATTGACAGCGTCTCCAAACCATTTAGAAGGTTCCACTGATGGAGGTACCTACCTGTAGCCTCCCTGCAGCACTGGCTGTAACTGATGAAACCATAAACTCTGCTCTCTAGCAGGACTTCCTGAAGGAGACCATCTGACCTTCGACCCTTGTGCATAATTAGGGACATTTCTGTCCATGTGGACAGTTTTCCCCTTGTAACGTTAAAATATGGATCATCAATATTATTGCACCTTTAATATCCGATTGACAGTTTGTTAATTGTGACCACTCACAAAACGTTACACCCTTCATTTGGATACCATTTATAACGTCTTTGTGCACATGGTCATTTTTTTAAAATGAAGACTGGTGGAATATTGATCATGAACACCAAAACGACATCCAGTGTGACGGTTGTGGTTGCAACAACAGAACACACGTTCCAGCATCAGGATACCAGGTTTGCTGCCGACACCTGAAGTGACTAGCCAGCACCATGTCCAGGGACGAATGGTACAGGGTAAGGACTCATTTCTGCAAAGAAGTTTATTTTACAACAGTATTTATCCTTAGAGCAGCTGTTTGACTTGTCGATTTTAACTCATTAAATGCAGGTTTGATTCTTCTTTTGATTCTGAGTCTTGGTTATGTTGAGAAAGAGCTCAAATGTGTGAGATGAAATTCCTTCATGATGTTGTGAGAAGTTCATTGGATACATTTGTTCACCTGTTTTATTTATTGCATATTGCTCTGTAGTGCTTTACTAAGTCATGGACTCCAAAGCACTTTAGACTTCAGACATTCATCCGTGGATGGTGATGAGCTACTATGTAGCCACAGCTGCCCTGGTGCTCGCTGACAGAGGCGGGGCTGCCCTACGGAAACTCCCCCGACCTCCACCAGGAGGTATAGAGGGTGAAGTGCCTTGCCGAAGGAAACAACGACTGACACAGATGGAGCCTGGGGTCAAACCAGCAACCCACCAATTCAGGGTGAACTCCTGATTCCTGAGCCTGTCGCCCCAACTCTGAAACCACATTTAGCGAAGTTATCTTCGTCCTCTGCTGATCTGGAACATTTAAGGGAAAAAATAGAAAAACTAGAAGAAATATGGGAGGTGTGTGTGTGTGTGTGTGTGTGTGTGTGTGTGTGTGTGTTAGGGTTAGGCTTCTCTCAGCTCTGTATATAATAGCTATGTCAACAGGGGTCAGGTTTTACAGGGATACTCTCTGAGGGACTGTGAGAAAGTTGCAAAGACTTTCTGCTTGAATAAAAGCCAACGATGACATTTTAGGCAACAAAAGCTTTTCACTTTTTTCTATGACTGTAATTTAGTTGTTTGCCACTCAGACTGCTAAAAAGAGTTCAGTATGATGGCACCTTGTCTAGATTGATTTCACCACAGATAAAAGCTCTTCAGATCTCTGTCTTGGCTTTTTAACGTGGTCATCAATTTACACAAACTAAAACTATAAGTACCAGACAGTGGAGTTTCCTGTTAAACAGGTGTGTGTGTGTGTGTGTGTGTGTGTGTGTGTTTGTGAACAAACACTAACATCTTATTTTGATGTTTAGGACAATAAAAATTAATTTACTGAAGGAGAATCATAATGCAGACATATTTATTGTTCCTTGTATTTTTCATATTTTGACCTAATTTGATCTTTTTTCCACCAACAGAGAACTTGACTTCTGCAGCACACACTGGAGCTCAGATAAGTTCAAGCTCTTTATATAAACATGAATAATCAAATGAGTCTAATCAAATATGAAGATCGGATTTTGATACAGCAAGATGTTGTTTATTTTTTCTGAGAAGGTGGTGCAAGTCCAGCAACGACTGATCTTAGAACAACTCAAATGATCAGCAATGGAAAAGAAGGAGCAAACCAGAAATCATCAAAGAAAGTCTTGAATAAAAATGTGTCATAGCTGCAGTGCTCACCTTTCTCAGTACATGCTGATGTTTAATTCAGCTAAGAACAGAGATTCTCCTGTTTTTTACCTTCAACGTCCCTAGGACATCTGGACAAGAGACACACTGGTGTACGTAATATTTAAAAGCCTTTGACACTGTTGACCATCACCTACTGGAGAGGCTGAGAGACTGGGTAGGCCTATCAGGATCCGCTCTGGAGTGGTTCTCCTCTTATCTTTCTGAGTGTTCATTCTCTGTGGCCGTCTCCAAGTTTCAGTCCCCCACCATCATGGTGTCCCACAAGGTTCTGTGCTGGGAACTCTACTTTTCCTCCTCTATCTGCTTCAGCACATCCTGAGCTTTTTTCTAAATCAGTCTCCTACCATCTTTATGCAGATGACATCCAACTGTACATCTCCTTTAAGTCCCATGAGATGTCTAAGCTGCAGCTGTTCCACACCTGCTTAGACTCTGTTAAAACCTGGATGGCTGGGAGCTTTCTACAGCTGAATGAAGATAAGACTGAGATCCTCATCTGTGCCCCAGACAAGCTGGTTCCCAAAGTCAGAGACTCTCTTGGTCAGCTTGCTTCCCACACCAAACCTTCTGTCAGGAATCTTGGCGTGACCTTTGACCCAGCTCTCACCCTGGATTCTCAAGTCAGTTCTCTTGTTCGCTCTTCCGTCTTCCATCTCAGGAACATTGCTAAGCTGAGTCCCATTCTGTCTCGCTCTGAACTTGAGACGGTTCTCCACACCTTCATCTCCTCACGCTTAGACTACTGTAACTCTCTTTTCACGTGTCTGAGCAGAACCTCCCTGAACCATCTACAGGTGGTTCAGAATGCCTGTGCTCGGCTTCTGACCAAGTCCTCCAAACACACCCACATCACCCCACTTCTCCTCCAGCTTCACTGGCTGCCAGTCAACTTCAGGGTTCATTTCAAGATCCTGGTTCTGGTCTATAGGGCCTTACATGGACAAGCACCATCTTACATTGGAGATCTTCTTAGTCCCTACACCCCCAGCAGGTCCCTGAGGTCCAGTGATCAAAGCCTACTGGTTGTGCAGCACCAGGCTAAAGACCAAAGGTGATCATTTGCTGCTGTGGCCCCCAGACTCTGGAACTCTCTCCCCCTGAGCCTGAGATCAGTGGACTCAGTGGTCTCCTTTAAAAAGCAGCTGAAGACTCACTTGTTCAAGCTGGCTTTTGTATGACCTTCTTCACCACTCTCTCTTTATTCTGCTCTCCCCACCTATTCCACCTTCCTCAGGATCCACTGATTTCCCTCTTTCCTATTCACTCTCTCTCTTTCTTAACATTTTTAATCACAATTGCCTATTTTTGCTCATTTTAATATATTTTTAAACATTTTCTAAATGCTTTTTTATATTTTTACATTTTAGTTTTGTGAAGCGCCTCGTGGTTTTTATCTTGAGAGGTGCTATAGAAATGATATTTTCTTCTTCTTCTTTTACGACGCAAGACCATGGTCTCGGATTTATAGGAACTGATTATCATCCCAGCTGCTTCACACTCCAGCAAACCACTCTAGTGAGAGATCACGTTCTGATAAAGCCAACAAGACCACATCATTTGCAAAACGCAGAGTCTCAATCCTTAGACCACCAAAACAGATCCCCTCCACACCTTGGCTGTGCCTAGAAATCCTGTCCATAACAGTTATGAACAGAATCGTGACAAATGGCAGCCTTGGCGGGAGTCCAACTCTCACCGGGAACGAGCCAGACTTACTGCCAGCAATGCAGACCAAACTCTGGCACCCGTCATATAGGGACCTAACAGCCCATACCAGAGGGCCTAGTAACCCATACTCTCGAAGTATCCCCCAAAGGGCCCCTCCGAGGGACAGGGTCAAACACTTTCTTTAAATCTTCAAAACACATGTAGATTGGTTGGGCAAATGCCATGCAACCTCCAGGACCCTCCTAAGGGCATCAAACTGGTCCAGTGTTCCATGGCCAGGACACATCTCTAGGACTGAAAGGATGGCACCTCGGTACTCTACAGCCCTCTGGTGCCAGGGGTCATCTGACCACTCTGAGTTTGGGATCCACCAAGAGGGTTCCTCTATGGTAATGTAGACACAGGCCTGTATACAGGACACATGTCTGTATGCAGTTTGAGAAATAACAGCTTATAGCTTATCTGCAAACCAAATTATTTTATCCAGAACACACCTCTCTGAAGATACGAAGATTCTGATTCATCATCTCATATTCACAAATAGTTTTCAGACACCCATCTTTTAGTTCCATCCACTTACAGGATAATAGTTTAAACAATTTGTCAAGTCTTAATTGTTTGTAAAACAAATTCTTATTTGTTTGCAAACACTGACTGGTTCGTGAATCATAAACGAAGTGTGAACGATCCCTTAATAATTAAAAGAATCCTAGAACCTTCTAATTAATCATCCTAAGACCAAGCAAGGTGATATTCTATAATAAATAACAGGAAGCCCACATTACTCTATTTTCCATTACATAAACAATTCAATTACAAAACACCACTGAAATTCAGATCAAGGGGGTGTAGTCTGAACTGTAGTTTGGTGCATAAGCACAGACAGCAGTCAGGACCTGTGCCACCACACATGGCAGAAGGAGGCTATCCTCTCATTCACCAGGGTAAAATTCAATGTAGAGGCACCAAGATGGGGGGCAACTAATATGTCCAGGGTGTCTAGCCCCTCTCAAGGAAACTAGTTCCAGAGCCAAAACCACATGTTGAGGTGAGTTTGACTATACATATGTGGTAGTGTGAGCGTCCTGTCACCGTGTTCTGATTGATCATGCGCCCTGGCTACTTGGCCAAGGGGTTGTCCCTTTGGCTGACTGGTTAGAACAAATGACTCTCACCTGGGAGTCTGGGGATCGAATCCCGCCCGGGCCCTCGTTTCTCCACCTTGCCACATATAGTTGGAACCTCTCAACCTCGCACACCAACTCAGGCTCCTTCCTCACCAGAGAGGTGACATTCTATGTACCGAGAGCCAGCTTCCATAGCTGAGGATCAGACCGCCAAGGTCCCTGCCTTTCGTCACCACCCATCACACTGTAGCGGAGATAATAAATCTACATAACCAGGATTTAACGCTGTTGCTATTCAGCTTTGTTAGATTCTGAGAAAAATCAAACAAATTAGCAAATGAAGCTAATATCATGTATACATATCCAGGATATTTATATAATTGATAGAAGTTCATACACCAACGGGCTTGGTCTATATTTAATCCAAAGATTAATATTTAATTTAAGAGATTTAAATTAATAGCAAAAGTTATTTATTAAATCAGAAGACTTGAAGGAATCTTTGCTTGTTCAATAACCAAATATACACCACCCTGAGTTTCATTTCAAAGAAGAGTCAGGTTTAAAAAGTTAAGAATTTATTACTAACAATTTAAAGATGACAATTTAAATGACAATTTATGACAGCTTTGATTTTAAAACTTGGTATTAAAAGCAACCTGTGTCTGAATGAAAACTAAAATGAAACGCGTGTGTTTGGATGCGTGGATGTAATCTCAGAAGGTTCCTATCAGAGAGAGAAACGCATTCTGGGTGAAAGAGTTTGTTTTGCAGCTAACTAAGTTATTTCTTAGAGAGAACAGCATCGGACACAATCTATGTTCTACCTCACCGATCAGACGACCCTCTGTGTGGATCCGGAGGCCAAAGGGAGGATGTTGTCAGCCTCTGCGTACTCGGTCTGGTAGGGAAGACCCGAGTGGTACCGACTCTCTGGTCCAAGAGTTGCTGCAGGGCACACAGGTGTTGAGCTTGCATCTTAACTTAACTCTGAGGGAGTTTTGCGTCAGCTGGTGCAGGTGGCGTTTATTCGGAGCAATTCTATCGGCGTGACAGAACAGCTTAGGTGGAGGCTTCGGGCGGCCGACCCTTATCCTCTGGGACTCTCGTGCCACGGAGAGATTTTGGTTGGTTCAGAACTGTCAGCTTGAACTGAGGAGTTTGGTTTTAACAAAACCTCAGGACACGCCCTCTCAGCGATAGAAAGCTTTGCTTATGGAGCAAAGACATTTGAGGTGGTAACCTTTAACCTGAATTCAGCATCCTGCATGGTGTGTATAAGTGTACATGACCTTCTGGTTACTGATCAAACATTACTGATTATCATAAATAATAATTATTATCAAACCAAAGAATAATAAGTCATTTCAGTAATTAAATACATTTATAATGAACCATGATGATTATTTATGATGATTATTTATGAACCTTGTAATAAACAGTGAAAAGAGTTTGTTAAAAATTATTATTTTAAATCTTGAAGTGTCCTTCATCTTGGGATGGAACGGCAGACACTTAAAAGGCAGTCAGATTAAAGATGGTTTTAGCAGACATTACGTCTCCTGTGATGGATAATATGTGGATAGAGGTTCAGCTTGACCCAGCTCGACCTAGCTGGGGAAGTGTGACCTTTGGGTCACAAATGAGGCCATTCATGTCGCTACAACACATTGCACCCAACCCCTTTGGCCCCCCACAAGTGGTGAGCCCATGGGAAGGGGGACCCATGTTTCCTCTTTGGGCTGTGCCCGGCCGTGCTCCACGAGTGAAAGTCCGGCCACCAGGCACCACCTCCAGGCCTGGCTCCGGAGGGGGGCCCGGCGACCCTCGTCCAGGCGAGGGAACACTGTTCACATTTGAGGTAATCATCATAAGGGGTCTGTGGGACACTGTCATCAGTTTTTGGCAAGGGAAATTATCTTTTTTTTTTTTTTTGCCATTTTTGGGGTGTTTATGAATGTGGAAGAGACCCAGCATCCCGTGATGGGACTAATAACATCAAGAGATAATAAATAAAGTAATATTAGGTAAATTTAACCCTTTACACGTGACCAGGACTCTGTGATCAATGTTTGGCAAGGGAAATTATCTTTTTTTTCTCCATTTTTGGGGTGTTTTGATGATACAGTAGACAGTATGAGTACAGTAACATCAACAGATAATACATAAAACCCTTATTTGGTCAATTTTAGCCTCCATGAAAATCTGAGCGATTCAATCACTTTTTGGCAAGTAAAATGCCATTTAGTTGTCTACAATTAAATCATCAATAAAGAATTTAAAGATATTTTGAGGCGTTTCTTATAGGTAAACAGGAGGGTGTAGTCTCTATTTGGCAAGTGACAATCTTAATTTTATGTACTGAAGTGCTTTTATCTTGTTACTTTTAAATAGAGCAACGTAATGTATAGCAACTTACACAGTGTCATTAAAGCCAAAGCTTGATCAGTTTAAATACTATTTTTCAAGAAAAAATGTGCCCCAAACTAGTTAACTGTGGCTCCATGTCAAGTGGACTAAAGAAAGGAAGGGGAAAAAATCAAATCGCTGGAGAATTGTTTATTTACATTTATAAAACGTTTACATTCAATACAGGGCGCCATTTTACGTTGTTTATTTATTTTTTAGTATCAAGGCTGTAACATAAAGATGGCCAGTTCTTACCACAAACCATCTTTCAAACGCAAATATTGCAAAAAGGATTAATATATCCTCATGGTGAACGTTTAAGACAAATAGCAACACTTAAAACAACTTCCGAACTGGAAAAACTAATATCCACGATAAACATCTGTTTAAGTACCTCTGCTTTCTGAATGTCCATATTGCTAGATATGCTGAGTTTCAGGGCGAAATCCTGAAGGAATTTCGTCTAGAAATGTAATTACCTAACCGTGCGCGATCCCGCGGTGGCTAATCATTTTTTGGCAGGGAGTCGATTTATGGCACAACACCGGATCGGGAAGTAAAGCCTGAGTCCCGATCAGTCTGAAACCACGTGATCGGGCCGATTTCCGATCATGTGATCAGATCAGGACATCCCTAATGTGAATGATTATTTTAATGATGAAAAGAGAAAATCCATTTTAAAGGCCTTTGTTGTTCTCAGGATTAAGCAGTTTCCTTGTGCTGCCACCTCAAAGCCTGTAATCCATTGTTCCATATATGCATGGTCCCTGTGTGTCCTGAGGTCCTGACATAGCAGATCATGAAATGTCTGCTGTCCATATGGAAGATGGGGACAGCTAGGTCCAGTTAATCCCCTGGATCGCCATGATTTTTGCATCCTCTCAGCTTCCTGTCTAGGTGATGAGGAAATTGTATGACTGAATCGGTGCATAGAGAGCCTCTGGGAGGTTGGCCGCAGCTCGCAGCTCCACCAGTCGGGCTGCCTGCTGCCGTGCTGAATGAAAACTGAGACACAAAAAGCACCAAAAGTGTGATTCTGAGGTCAACAGCCTGTGTGGTCGGCTCTGCTGTCCCAGACTGGCCAACGCAGAAAGGAACGGCTCAGTCAGCAGACCTGGACCACTGGAGTGATGAAAAGTACACACACACACACACACACACACACACACACACACACACACACACACACACACACACACACACACACACACGCACGCGCGCGCACACACACACACACACACACACACACACTGCCACTGGACCTCATGCAGCGTCAGACCGTTTGTGATCAGACAGAGCCAGTTGGACCAAAGGGATATGAGCGGGAAACTTCAGAAGCTGCTCATGTTTCTGGATCAGAAAGGATTTGTATAACACATTCATATCTGACGGACTTTCCCATGTTCACTCTGGACAGGCGGTTTTTTGTTGAATCTCTCATGAGCAGGCTCCTTTTTTCAGCCATGCTCCTGGCTCTAGTTTCCAGTAGTCTGGTAGGGATGCTGTGCAGACCCGAGCTTATGGAGAACCGCTGACTCGGAACCAGGAACCAGGAACCAGGGTGAGTTCTGCTGGCGCTGCTGGCTGAAAACAGGCTGCTGCCTTTTATTTACCTGTAAGAATCTTAAAATTGTTAAATATTAACTGATGCTTTCAAAGCGCAATCGTGTCATCCAGTTTAATTCTGTGATTAGTTTCCTGTCTGACGTGATGCCTGAATCCAACATTTCTAATTTTTACATATTTGTTAAAGGGTGTGTTTCTGACTCAATCTCAGCATGTTTCACTGTTTTGTGAGTCTTTAGATTTGCATGATGTGTGCGTTGTGCACCACCACATCTGACTCTCGCTGTGTTCCAGGTGCTGAAATGGAAGATATAGTTTTGATTCTATTATTGCTCAGTAAGACACTTTTAGCTGGAGCTCAGTTCAATGGATACAACTGTGACACCAACTTTCACAGCCGATTTCCTGGTAAGAAGCTTAAACTGAATCTGTTTGTGATTTGTAGGATTATCATTTTAGTCTACTCTTGGGGACAGATAATGGGAGTGGCTTAATCAGAAGGTGAATGTGAAGCTCTTACAAACTTTGTCCCCCAGAATAAATGAGTAATTTAATTACTTTACTTATACTTGAGTAAAAAGACTTTTGTTTTTCATGCATTAAACCAACTTGTTGGTGTGTTTTCCAGCTGAGAGGGACATCAGTGTGTACTGTGGGGTTCAGACCATCACAGTCAAAGTCAACTTTTGCCCAGTCCTCTTTTCCGGCTACACGGACGCTGACTTGGCGCTTAACGGTCGCCATGGTGACACACACTGTCGAGGATTTATCAATAACAACACCTTTCCTACTGTGGTCATCTTTAGCATCAGTCTAGCGACGCTGGAGTCGTGTGGAAATGTGTTGCTGGTAGGAAGAACAAGGACAGCACACACACACACACACACACACACACACACACACACACACACACACACACACACACACACACACACACACACACACACACACACACACACACACACACACACACACACACACACACACACACACACACACATGCATGCACACATTGATGGTCTGCTTAGTAGTGCATTACTTAATATTAACAGTTGTTATTATTTTACGTAATAGTTTATTGATGCTTAATAATGCACTAAGTAATGTTAAGAAAGGGACCCTTATTGTAAAGTGTTAACAAAGTCTGCTCTACATAAAATTTTAATTAGCCATCGCTAATGGCTAAGCGGGGATATGCGATGTTATCTGATACCATGTGACATGGCTGCTCTAGGCTGTGAGGTGTAAAAGCAGCTGACACTTGGCCACACCTCCAGCTGTCTCAGCCACTCACGAGCCAACACAAAACGATGTGGCTCATGGCTGCTGGCGCCCTCCAAAAAACCTTTCACCTTTCTTCTGGTGAAGGACATGGAGAGAAATCCTCCAGATTAGGAAGCTTGCTGCTGTTCCTCCGTCCGAGCAGAGCATGTGTGTGTTGGGTTTTAGTTAAGGTTAAGGTTAGCAGTAGACTGGTTATGGTTATGTTAGGGTTAGGTTAAGCCACAATCCAGTCACTAAAATGACGGTCCTCACAATGAATGTTATACTAGAGTGTATGTGTGTGTGTGTGTGTGTGTGTGTGTGTGTGTGTGTGTGTGTGTGTGTGTGTGTGTGTGTGTGTGTGCGCGTGTGTGGGTGGGTGGGGGGGGGGGGGGGGGTCTTTAGTTTTTTTGTACACATATACACACATAAAGTGAATGAAGAAGAATAACATTTGTTTGCGTTTACATGTTTATTGTTGTGCATGAATGGGCCTCTGCTCTTTTGACTGCTGACAGTCACCTGTATTCAGTCTGATGCCAGGTCTATGAATGAGAATCGGTTCCAGGTCAGGATTGGAGACAGGCGTGTCCAGGAAATAGAGATCTACGTTTAGCTGAGACTGGTGATCAAATCCTCTCACTGCCAGAGTACCAGAGCTCTGAGAACCCTGTGGATCTGAGACACAGCTGGGGATCAAACATGTCCCCTCCTGACTTTACTTTGTCCTGTCATGAGCGGACGCCCGTGGCTCCACATGTTCTCTAACCAATAGTCATTTGTAATTATTGCACAATTTCTTTCCTGGTCTGATTTATTAATCATCAGTTTGGTTTCGAGGATGTTTGTTGTATTTTATTCATCTTTCTTGCAAAACATAAACCATGTTGAAAACCAACATTCAGGGTTTTAACTCTGTAAAGGCCTGTTTAAAGGTCAACTTCACCACAAAAACTTTTTAATAATGATTATTTCTGATTATAATCAGTCACTCTGGGTTTTTCATCCAGTCTGAACATGAAAATAGTCTCCTACACCTATCTCCTGCACTAGCTTCTGATAGAAAAGCTGGACAGATCTATGTCACAGTCACTTAACATTCATGGACTCATCCATCTTGACTCAAAGAAGGTTGTTGTTGGTTTAGCGTCCAGGAAACAGCACAGACCATCTTGGCTAGTAGAAGCTAACCGTTAGCATTAGCAACTCCACCACACAGCAGAACTCCTTCAGGTTTATGTTATTGGTGAAGGTAAAACATCAACGTTGCAGAGCAAACAGAGTCAGCAGTAGAGTTGCTTTACTGTTGTCTAATCAGGGGAGAGATATCCGAGTATCAGGCAATCAGACCTTGAATCCTGCCGTCTGAAGCTCAGCTCTGATATGGCTCACTTATTTCCTGAAACTGGTGCACCTCTGTAACTTTTCCCCCCAGAGAACGACTTACAAGGCATTCATTCCTACGAGAGACCACTGCAGATGTATTAAAAATATGAGTAAAATTGACCTTTAATTATTGATTAGATCCGGTGAATCTAGAAATCAAATATTTAGGGATTTTCTGCATTTAAGCTCTTTATTTGACATATTTGGTTTAACTTTTATTTAACTTATCTATTTAAAAACCTACAAATCCTCTTGCATCTATCAGTGATTAATGGTTTTTGATCCATGAACATTTCAGCCATGCAGAAGGTGGTGAAGCAGTGTTAGAGGACAAGAGGATCCACTCATCTTGTCCTTCTGCAGGTGTCCACCGCTCAGGGACCCAACGCCTATGGGAACCTGTCTTTGGTTCAGGTTGGAAACATATCTGGCTACATCGACACGCCCGACCCCCCCACCATCATCAGCTACCTGCCAGGTCTCCTGTACAGATACAGCTGCAGCTACCCGCTGGAATACCTGGTCAACAACACACAGCTGGCCTCGTGAGTGCTCCAACCCCCAACCCAGTAACCCTAACCCAGAAAACCAGTGGGGTTAAACTGCTGGGTACAGTACAGTCTGGTCCTTTCATCTAAAACATGAACTCTACCTAAAAATCCAACTTTAAAGCATTCAATACAGGGCCAGTTCCACGGGGGGGATGGGGGGGGGGGGGCACAGGGTGGCCACTGCCACCCTGCTGTAGAGCCAAACAGCCGTGAATCATCTTGGGTACATCCTAAATCTTGGGACTGGTAGAAGACCTCACATGCCTCCTTTAATGATGGCTACTTGGATGCTGCTTAGCGGGAGAAGCAAAAGACATTCAGCGTCAATGTTTACACCAGCTCGGTAGCCTAGTGGTAGAGTGTCCGCCCTGAGACTGGGAGAGCCGGGTTAGATTCCTGGTCGGGTCATATCATCAACTTAGAAAAAATGGGACCCAATGCCTCCCTGCTTGACACTCAGCATTAAGGGTTGGACTGGGGGGTTAAACCACCAAATGGTTCTCGAGCACGGTCGTGTCTGCAGCTCACCGCCCCCCCAGGGGATGGGTCAAATGCGGAGAACAAATTTCGCACACACATCAGTGTGTGTGACAACTGATGGGACTTTAACTTTACACATAGATGATGATGATGATGATGATGATGATAGCATAAATAGTCTTGGAGTGTTTTGTGGGAATTTGTTGACCACATCTACATGAAGGAGGTTTTCACATACATGGTGAGGTCCATCATTGCTCCATACCTAGACCTTTACACCCTATGTAAAATGTTCTAGATCAGATCAGAATTAAAGTGGGCTAATGTTATTTTAATGTTTAAAACGTATTTCTCTGTTTGGACTGAAGATCCGCAGCAGCCATCTCAGTGAAGGAAAGCAACGGTACCTTCATCAGCACCTTGAATCTGCTGCTTTATAACGTAAGTTCATGTTTTATTGTTGCTGTCGAGGCGAGCTGAGCCAGCCCGCCCAGACCCAAACACCACATGACAAGTTACCGTGTCTCTCTGCAGGATTCGTCCTACAGCCAGCAGCTGTCCATCCCCATGGCTGGACTGACTCTGAAGACTCGGGTGTTTGCTGCTGTAAAAGCCTCCAACCTGGATAGGAGGTATCGTTTTCCAGTCTAACAACCCTGAGTCTGAGCTTCTGGCACTTTGTTCATATCAGCTAAAGCACGGTTCACTAGTCCTAACCCAGTCAGACGATTCACCAGGAGGAGTGCAGGAAGCTCACTGTTTCCTGTTCCCTTTTTCCTGCTGACTTAGAGGATCTCAGTGGGACTTTGTTTTACTGTTGAATCATCTACCGTATTGACCCAAATGTAGGACATCCCCGGTTATAAGACAACCCCCCTTTCTGAGACTAATCTTAAGGAAAAGACAAAAAAAATCTGTTTTTCAATTAACTTTTTTATAGAAAATTTTAAAACAAATACTGAGCAAAAATACTATTTTAATGCAAAAGATCAGAACTTTGCTGACGTGGGAAATCAAAAGTCAAATGAGGCTTTTATTCGCTGTACTCACCCTCATGCTGCTGTGGTCCGCTGTACCATCAGATCGACACCTGCTGGCTCCTCCCATTGAACATCATCCTCACTGCCATCCATGCAAGGTTTGACGCCTATACTGAACTGACCACCCATCTTAAAATTTGCATAACTCTGCCATAGTATGTTCACTTGCCCCACTTTTGGTCCACTCTGCTCCGAGCTTCCCTCTCCAATATTTTCTCCTGTTGAGAACATACAGCCTGGCGCCCTCTGCTGTTACGGGCGTGCAACAGTTAGACCCCGATTATAAGACGACCCCAGATTTAAAAATTATTTTCTATGAAAAAAATCTCGTCTTACATTCGGGTCAATACGGCATTTACATCAACGCCTGTCAGTAGTTACTTTAGATTATTTTTGAGGCTTTTACTTTGAAAGTGACCAGTGAGGTTCACCTGTTTGGGCGGCTCTGCAGGTAAACAGGGCCTCTAAGCATTAATGAAATCAAACCTGAGTTTTTGGGTTAGAGCTGATCACTTTTCCACACAGAACCGCTGGTCTGGATCCCTAAAGAAATAAAACAACAACACTGAGGTGTGACAGTACAGGCCTGAGGGGGTGACTCAGAGTGAACACCCCCAATAGTCTCAGCTGATCCCAGGTCTGCTTTTTAATGTTTTTAATGTGGGATAGATGGAACGTTATGATGGACTACTGCTACACAACACCGTCTGGAAACCCAAATGATGAGCTTCGCTATGACCTTTTCTTTAGGTACGTCCAGCTCATTATTAGGTCCAGTTCTGGATTCCTCCGACCTTTTACTGACAACATGAACGTTTCTGTCCTGACCAGCTGTGAAAAAGATCCCCAGACCACCATCTTTGAAAACGGGAAGAGCCAAATGGGTCGCTTTGCCTTTGAAGTATTTCGTTTTGTGAAGCACAAGAACCAGAAGATGTCCACCGTCTTCCTGCACTGTGTCACTAAGCTGTGCCGAGCAGACGACTGTCCAGTGCTCACTCCTGTGAGATTAACACCAGCACTAACGCACCAACACACTAGTGAATGGAGATAATTAGCGCTAATAACAAACCATACCAATCAGCTACATGATGACCAAAGAAACTTAGGGAAGGTTTTAACTCCTTTCTAATTTAGTCAGATTAACATTTAACAATAGAACTGAATTTTATTTTACTTTATTCATTTGTAATGAGTTAATTTTCATGTTATTTAACAAGCCATAAAACATAGGATTCCATAGGAAATATGAAATCAACCTTATGGATCTGTGGGTACTGTTTAACCAGAAGATTGGAACTTTTTATTGCAGGGATTAGATAACAGCTTCATATTAATTCAGAGGCAATGGAAGAGAGAGTCAGGTTTTAAAAGTTTAAAGATTTATTACTTAACAAATTAAAACTAGACTAACTTTAACACTAAGTGTATGGTGTAACTAAGGTGAATGAGATGGAGAATGGTGTAGTGTGAAATGTTGCTCAGAACCAGCAAATCCGAAGAAGCGATTAGTTCTGATGGGAAATGAAGGTGATGTCTTCGCGCTAAGCTTTGGTTAGGAGATTCATAAACACATTCTGCCATTTTGCCGGCCTCCATACCCTTTTGGAAGTCCCTGTTGGATCGGGAATGTTGAGGTCCAGCTTGACCCTTTCTGGAACCGAAGCCGGTAGGAAAAGCAGCGGTTGCCGACCAGACCAGTCTTTGAGATACTTCTGGGTCACAACAGTTTTGTTGGCATCTAGCAAGACCCAAACCTGGGTCATGATGGTTCAGCTTTTATTTTGAAAGGAACCGTTGCAGCAATTGGAACAGCAACAGATTTTATCCAGCTTGTCGTTGGTTCTTTTGGCTGAAGAGGAAAGTTATGGATTGGCCACTCCGACAACTTCTCTAGAACGCTTTGAACTGGCGTTAAAGATGACGTGGGCATAGTTTTATACTTCGGATGTCTTGGTTTTATGGTCGAATGAAAAGATGACAGATTTACCAAGCACCACCAAAACCACGCCTCTGTCAGATCTGGCAGATTCTGATTGGATCAGTAACAGCAATGTGTCATGTCTTAACGCTACGTGAGATCAGTCCTAGTGGAAACATTTAAAGTCACATTACTCATCATATTCTATAGGATTATAATGAAGTAATTAATATTTTGATTTCACAGATTGGTCACATCTTATTATTGACTAACACTTTGTTTGATTAGCTTTATTAAAAATAGAGTTCTTTGATTTATTAAAAGGAGAGAGTCCTTTCTTCATTCTTCTCTTGAGCTGGAAAGAAGCAGTTTATAAGCAAATGCATGAGACCTTGAGGCCATATCTCATGCAGACTAGTTCTGTGTCAGAGGAGAGGGGGAGAATAACTTTTGGTGGAAAACAGTCATTTCATTCTGTTACAAATTTTACTCAAACGTACGCGGTGGAGGGGTTACTTATGAGGAAAAAATGTGGATAAACATGATAAAAACACATTAAAGATGTGAAAAAACATAGCAGAGAGCTAAAATGTGTGTCTGTGTGTGGTCAATCTACCAACATGTTTGTATCTGTTATAGATCTGCAGCAACAGGAAAAAGCGGGAGACCCCTGAGGGAAGGGAATCGAGTAGTTTGTCTGGGAATGCTGTCCTGACGGCCGGTCCCATCATCACCCGGAGCGGTACGGGTTCTCCTGTCATTCTATCTTCCTGTTAATGACGCAGATCTGGAGAGATGTCCAAATATTAGGAAATAAGGCTTCAAATCCTGTTGTATTCTGCTCACCTCTGCTCTGGCTCACCTCTAGTTCCTGAAACAGGCGCACCAGAGCTTTCATCTCACAGAGATCGATTCACAACGCATTCATTTATACTAGAGACCACTTCAGATGTGTTGAATAAACAAGTGAACTTGGTCTTTAAAGCTGCTATAGCGAATCTGCAAATAAGCTAGGTTTTGAATGCAAACACGATTACTGAACACTAGTGATGCACTGATATGAAATTTTTGGGCCGATGCAGATATCCGATATTAAGATCACTGTTATGGCCAATAACTGATATTTGCCGATACCGATATACTGGCATTAATGCTTCTAAAATCAGCAGACTTTGTATAGAATGACAACTATTAAAGCTGAATTTACGTTATTATGTACACACACCACACATTTACGGTTCTGAGATGATTTCATTCACTGTTCATGTGACTAAACAATTACACATCACCCCCTCTCCCTCTGAAACAGGCAAACAAATGGAGACGAGATGGAAAAAATATTGGTTGTTAAAGGCCCAGTGTGTGGTATTTTTACCTGTTTACTAAAAATCCTGTTTCCAGTTCACAAACTTGTCCTTTTTCACTAATATTTCTCACCAACATCAATTCTAAATATTCCTCTCAACTTGAAATTTTACATTTTTAAATGCAAAAACTGTGGTCGATCCTCCATGGTCATCCACCATCTTAAAATACAGTAGCTGTTTAGGGACATACGAGCTCCTCGTTACCTGTTTGGACTATGACTGTAACCTGAAAGAACCAGCAGAGGGCAGCAGTGTGCCCTGGAAGCATGAAGTCTGCTAATTCAACAAAGAAGTATAAAAGAATAGCTACACCGCTGTATTTGTTAGTTTGGGTAAAGAAACGATTAAATCAAAAGGCACATAAAATTTGTCAGTTCGTCATCATGTCCAACACAAGGAAGCTGCATATGTTCAGACCCCCGCCCGCTATTATCTGGACGCCAGCCTCTGATCAGTGTCTCTGACTCCCAAACTCACCTGAAGTTGTTCATCCGTCTTTTCCTACCAGAACTCCCGACCCGGTCCCAACGTGTCCGTTCCAAAGTCTTTCTACTCAAGTCTCCTCTCTTCCTGCAGCCTGCCGTCTCCCTCAACACGCTCCAGCGCTCGTCCGCTAGCCAGTGGCTGAATCAGCGTTGTTTACTTTATCTCCACAGAATATTTCAGGGGAACACAATTTCTCACAACACCTGACATCACCCCTCCTCCGTGTGTGAATGGTGACAGCTTCAAGAACAGAACTAGCTTGCTTCCTTCAGTCATAATTATTAATGCTATTTTGAAGAGGTCGTGTAGCTTGTTTCAAGCTTTGTGTGGGCTAGGCTACACAGGTTGGAAATTGATTATGCAGTCAAACTCATGAGTGAGCCACCGTAGCTGCAATACTTTCTCTGAACTGCATGGCGCTAAAGAGTCACATGTTTTTCATCATGATTTCAATGGATTTCACACACGGGGCCTTTAATATCTGATATGTTAAAAAATGACTAATATCGGCCGATACCGATATTGATGCTTATATATTGTCCATCCCTACTGAACACTGATCCCTATCCTCAGGTACCCACAGGAAACCCGGGTTGACAGAGGAAACAAGATGGTGCAGAACACAAGTCGCTGATTTCTAGGCCCAAACGTCTTTTGTTGTCAGTGACTGTGTTTTTTAATCTTTATATTTTGTGACTCTGGTAGTTTATCCTGAAGATGAAGTGGTAGCAGCCAGCTGTCTCCTTCTCTGACATTACAATAGAATAGAATAGAATAGAATAGAATAGAATGGAATAGACTTTGTTGATCCCACAGTGGGGAAATTCACCTGTTACAGCATCACCAACACTTAAGAGGATAATTTAAAGAGAAATAATAACAAAGGTACATGTGTATACACTTAGGCAGTGAGCTAGTAATGTGACCTTCGACCACTAAAAACCACAAATAAAAAAATAAAGAACTTGGGTTCTTTATTGTTGAGCAGAGAACCGTTCACATCAGTGGTGATCTGTTGCTAAATACGTGAGTGGAGGACCCAGGGAAGTGCAGCAGTTTGGTGAGACCAACAACCGGATGGTCCAATGGTGATGAAATGTGTTATTGGTGGAGGTTTTTAGAAAAATGCGACAGAACCACTTAAAGAGCAAGTCACCCCCAAATCAACTTTTTTTTGCTGATAAACTAAATAAACGAGTGTCTAATCGTGCTGCAGACACATGTAGTCAATAATTTGGCACTTCAGTGCATCTTAGTTAAAATTTAAATATTCTGCCTAAAACTGTTATTGCATTTGAATTTAAATCTGCCATCGCTATTGGCTAAGAGGTATGCTATGATGTAAACTAGTACATTATGACGTCACAATGCTGTCGTGAGTCTGTGTGTGTATTTGTTAGCGGCTCCGTCCTCTCGGTCTGCCAGGCAACAGCATTTGTTGCATTTTTCAAACATGAAGTGGGAGTGGAGTTAGACTCTGGTAGGGGGCGACTTGCTCTTTAATTCATTTTTTCTGTTTTTATTTATTTATTTATTTATTTATTTATTTTACAAATGTTTCAGTCACATGTCTTCCTTCTTTACTTGTGTCTTAAGAACAAATAAACCAAAAGTAACTGAAGTAATGATCCATCACTCTAAAAACCCAGGACTAAACCAAAGTTAGCTGGTTTGGGTCACTCGGGTAGACCGACAGCACTAGCTATTTTCTCATGCCGGCTCCAAAATAAACAGCAGTCTCGTTCTTTAAAGTATTTAACTGCTGTTTCTTTTTCTTCGTCCACAGATGAAACAGCAGCCAACAATTCTCAGCTGGGTAAGTAATGTTACAGAATGCACTGAAACCGACCGGCACCATTAAAGTTAAACATGTCTGAACTTCTCTTCTGGGCTGCGCAGTGGCGCAGTGGTTAGAGCTGTTGCCTTGCAGCGAGAAAGTCCTGGGTTCGATTCCCGGCCTGGTATCTTTCTGCATGGAGTTTGCATGTTCTCCCTGTGCATGCGTGGGTTCTCTCCGGGCACTCCGGCTTCTTCCCACAGTCCAAAAACATGACTGCTATGTTGATTGGTCTGTCTAAATTGTCCTTAGGTGTGTGTGTGTGTGTGTGTGTGTGCGTGTGCATGATTGTTTGTCCTGTGTGTCTCTGTGTTGCCCTGCGATGGACTGGCTCTCTGTCCAGGGTGTACCCCGCCTGATTGCCCGTTGACCGCTGGAGTTAGGCACTAGCCCCCACCCCCCGTGACCCTGCGTGGACAAAGCGGGTTCAGAAGATGGATGGATGGATGAACTTCTCTTCTCCTTAATCCCTAAATGTTTAAATTGTGAAAATTCTGAAACCCATCAGTGGTACTCCTGTACTTCCTGTGAGAAAACATGAATGGGTTGTTTGTGTTTGCTGCAGCATTGATCTGAGCGAAGTCTTTATTAGGAACAAGATTTTTCTTTTCAGCAGAGAAAAGTAATAATAAACTACCTTTGAGACTCTTATTTTGGAGAATTAAAGGAAGTTCTTTGAGTTCTGTTGAATACTGCTGAACTTCAGAGTGAGAGAGATTCTTGTTTATTTTATGGTTTAGAGTCCAGCATCCTCACTCACAATCAGAATAAAACAACAATAGAAACATCATAGTCTGTAGTATGAAGAATGATAGAGGATGTTCTGTAGGACCAGTTTAGCACACGCTGAGATGTTTCTTTGTGTTTCTGCTGCTACAGCACATATGAAGGCCTCGGAGTTTCAGATGAACACAACAACAAGCTTGCTCATCTCAGGAGTCATCGTTCTGGGAGTCATAAGCATCTGTTTCTTTATCTTCTCACTCACACTCCACAAATGCAAGAGTTCTCCTGTCAGCAGCAGGTCTGGAGTTCACAACCCAGTGTTTGACTGAACATGAGTCCCAGCAGACACTCAGGCTCTCCTCATGGCAATGGAGATGTGATTTTTGTGCTTGTAGTGATGTGACAGGAGAACACAGGTGTTGCATTAGAAACCCTGCAGGAACAACGTGCTATAGAGTAGAGATGACTTCTGTGTTTTATGTATCAACAATGTTCAGAGGAAATAAAAGAAATCTGACTTTTGTCATTAATGTCCATTTACAAGATAGGGCTGGCCACACCTGTGCTTAAAAGGATGTTCTACAGAGGCTGTCTGTGACAACATCAGTATGAAACATCAATGATCTCACCTCAGTTAAACACGGCCCATTTCTACCAGCATTCAGCGCAGCTCAACTCGGTTCAGCCCGGTTACAAGACTTTAATCAGTGAATTTGTGGTTGCTGCTCCCTGCTTGTGGCTCCAAGAGTATCGAACCAAAGCTGAAAACACACCGTCAGAGACTGTAAGTCACTGATTTGCTTGTGGGCGGAGTCACTGGCTTCTCCGGAGTTTTCCAGCAGTCTTTACTGGATCTCTCCTTTTAGAATTATGGTGTCAGATGGGCGCCAAAACCCGTGCACGCGTATTGTCCACCTCGCGCGTGCGAACGGGACTCACGCGTGGAAGTTAGAACCTCTCGAGTGAAAATATACTTGGCGAGGAGTAGGGGCTGCACGACTTGATTTTTTTAAGTCGACTGTCAAGTAATGAAAATCGAGTCAACTTTGACTAGTCGTTGATGATGTCATACACCTGAAGCGGCGTGTGCGGGGTGGGGGTGGGGGGGGGGGGTCGCTGGAGTTTTTGATGATTAAAATTGCGCCCACATTTTCAAAGTTAAATACATCTCTTTTAACAGCGGTAGTTTCTGCATTTATACTGCTCCACTTCAGCTCTCTCCCCCTCCCCATGCACAGTGCGCCTGCAGCCTCTAAGAGTTCCGGCTGCTCTAAACATTAAAATAATTATTTCATTTTCTGTTCCTCACTTCTGATTACCTTCAGTGGTGTCTGTTTGTTGCAACCAGCAGGTACAACAACTAGCTTGTTTTTATTTGACTATTTTTCTGTCCTGTCTGTTTATTATCATCCTGCATCTCGTCTCAATCCTAAAGAAAAACTGCTACCTGGGTTCATATATATTCACCTCATGAGTTACCTTTGAACTGCAGTTCTAATTGATCTACCGACCGCAAAAACAGCGGAGTGCGCGCTGCTCCCCGACCGCATCAGTGAGGTGAAGTTATTGGAGGACAAAACAGGTGATAAGCCCCGCTCCACAGCAGCAAAACGCATCAGGCACAAATAAAAGACAGAAAACATCAAAGGAAATGAAGCGACATGAACGATCGCGTGTTAAATTTGTTTTTGAGGTGGCGACAACTAATTTGATGTTACTGTGGCCGTGCTCAGGACGCAGATGTCTGGAGCGCATCAACGATCAGAGCTTTGCATGTGCACGCTGGTTAAGATTAGGATGGGGGTGAGGGGAAAGTTAAATTGCAAGAGGGTAAACGTCACAATTTGGTTAAATGTCCGTTTTACGGCGGGCGTCAGTACCGACGCTCTGGCACAGCGCGTTGCCTCCCAATGCGCAGGGGCTCGTCACCTGCTGTCTTTTCCGAGGACTGCATCTTGTCGCTCATTATCACGTGACAGCGACTAGTCGCTGAAAAGCATAAAAAGTCACTACAGAGCAGTGAAGTCGACTAGTCGACTAGTTCATACAACCCCAGCGAGGAGGTCATTTGTACACTGAGAGGGAGCAAACTGTGTCTGTGAGCACACAAGGATGTGCACAAGTGTCAAACCTGCGTGCGCACATTGGCCAACGAGCACACGGCAGAGGAAAACATGCGCGCGGCTGCCTCACTGCGCATGTGGCAGCCTTTCTGCGCACTCTGTGCGGCAGCCTCATTGCGCGTGTGGCAGCCTTACAGCTCGCTCGGTTTCTGATTCTGCTCGCTCGGTTGTTGGGAGTTTTGGCACTCGCATACGCGTGCACGGGTTTTGGCGCCCATCTGACGCCATATAGGACTCTGAAAAAAGGCCACAGCCTGAGCAGAATGTTCCACATCACTACCCCAATCCTCCATTGTGTTGTGTTTTGGTGTCGGGTTCAGCTCATCTCATGCTACTTGTCAAACTCTGTGCTATGATAGTAGCAAGTAACAGGTGCTCTTCAGGGTTGTCTGAAACATCCAGTGTAGGTGAGGAATAAATAAAAGGGGATCCAAGGCACTCCGAATGGTGTGAATCATTTATTGAACAAGAAAAAGCAGACACATTTCGATCGCTTGTGGACTCCTTCAGGGCATAGATGACATTAAATTAAACAGGTGATCGTAAATAGGGGACTTCTGGTCACATGACAGAAACATATGACCAGCAACCAACATGAATACAACAAATCAATGGGAAATCAGACTCTTCCTAAAAGCCAACAATGATTAAAAAAAAATCTAATCATATGTCAGTGGGTCAATTAGGACAATTGAGGACAACAGACAAAACACGCCTGTAAGCGTGTGCCTCTGCTATGAATTAATATCTGTGAGACACTAAATCACATTATAGTGAAAAAATGGAAAAGTCCAGCTTCTCGTTGACACCAGGAAATATGGTGGCATGCAATCTTTCAATCCAGAATGTTTCCCTTTGAGATGGAGTTTGTAGAATGTCCTCCCTGGTGTTATACTTGGATAACTTCACTATCACAGGTAATCCTTTGGGGTTGCACTGTGGGGAAGAGCGATAGTGTTTGGTGACTGGGCAAATCATGTTCTCCTTTCTGATAGCTTACTTATGTTCTCCGAATCTGTCTCACAATCTGCTGTTCGTGAAGCCAGTGTAAGAGCAGCTACAGATGCAACCCAGATGATAAATTACATGGGTACTGTTTGCAACAGACGAGTCCTTAGCCATTTGTCTTTGATTGGATGACAATGACCTCAAACTAAGTCAAAGTAGTTCCAACGTGGATTACTACTGTTTAAGAAAACCTCAAATCCATAAATGGTTTAGAGCATTGTGCTAACAATAATTCACCAACCTTTGCTTATTAACACATTATTAACATGTAGTTGCACACAGTCATTAGAAGATCTGTAACCTCTCTGGTCAGAATCTTATGTTTCTGTCAGAATCACGTGTGATGGTTTAAAATGGTGTAAACACATCTGTAGGTTTTTTAAAAGTGTGACCAGGGTTCAAATAAATCTCTTTCCTCAAACCGATGTTGTTCAAAGGGCGATCTACAATGGGAGAGAGGTTGAAAACCTTCCCTCAGATCACCCAATCAGAGATATCAACTATGACTTCAGTGTTTCATGCTTGGTAAAGGCCATAGTGTGAATGTTTGGCATTCAACCAAACTTTGATGTTGAACAAAAACAACTAAAATGTTCATTAGAATTGAAAAGTAGTCTGCTGATTGTTTTGATGAGAACGTTTTTTAATCTGTTTTATTCATCCTATAGCGTTAAGGATTGACCACATATATATCAAATGGTCAATAAAATGTGATATTCCATATAAATATGAAATATCAATCTGATTGGTCTTTGAATGTTTAATCAGAAGACATTAGCTTCTTTGACTAAGGGAACACATACTTCACATTATTTGAGACAGTCAAGAATACAGCGTACAATATTATTTTAATTCTATTTTCCTAAACTAAATGATTACACATGACAAAGCATGAATGAAATAATGGTTGCACAGATAGCAACTGATGAATGGAATGATGAAACATGAGCTAGATGTTGTAGCAAAACCTTATAAGTATCTGAGAGAGATTGTGGAGTCTGGCTGGTAAAATCAGTTTGGCTGTATGGTTTGATAAGCGAGAGATTTGTTTATAAAACCACCCAATGTGATCGTGCAGAGTCTACGCACCCTTTGTGTGATGGTTGCCCATCAGTAGTCTGGACAATAGCGGCCCGAGTGGTGAGGCTGAGACCAAAGGAACCCAAAGAGGCGCAGTTCCCTTTGAATTCAGATTTCTAGATCCAGCCATGAGGTGCAACCAGGGTCTGCAGGTTAGAATGTCTGTCTGAAGTGTTGAGTGGCTCCTAAAAGAAACATTATGTCTGCTATCACTCACTAGCATTGCAAAGAGGCTTTGAACTTGGGGTCAAAAGAGAGGATGGTCTCAAAATGCTTGTTCACCCGAGTGGCCTTATCGAGTGAACGGTGAAGACTGGGGAATCAGGAAGCCATTCCTGTATTTATCAAATGTTGTTTACAAATTTGACAAATCAGACTTTGACCCGCTTAAAAGGGCATTTACAAAGACCTCAGAAATGACGTCTTCACTCAGATACTCAGAGAGGTTAACTCAGTGTGAAGTGAATGTGTTATTCCACATGTATGTAAAGTGAATGTTAAAACTTTAATCCAACAATTACTATGAGGTGTCAATAAACTGATATTAAAGTAAGGGTCAAGGCATGGGTGGAGACGCATTTCATCCACACTTCCTGTTGGGAGAACGTTTCTTAAAGAGGCGCTGCCTGGCGGACTGAGAGAGCGGCACTGAGGCAGTGATAGACCTGACCAGTGATTAAAACTCGCTCAGTATCATATTTCCCCCTTCCTGGGCTGCCACCGTTCCATGGTGGAGGGGTTTGAGTGTCCCACTGATCCTAGAAACTAATTGTCTGAGGCTTTATACCTCTGGTAGGATCACCCATGGCAAACAGGTCGTGAGGGACCAGACCAAGTGCAGCCCAAAGACCCCTTATGATGAATAATACAAATGGAAACAGTATTCCCTCGCACCGAACACGGGTCACTTTGGCCCTCGTCTGATGCCAGACCTGAAGGTAGGGCACGTTGGCGAAAGCCTGGTGGCTGGGCTTGAACCCATGGAGCCTGGCCGGGCACAGCCTGAAGAGTAAACATGTTCCCCCTTCCCATGAGCTCACCACTTGTGGGAGGGACCAAAGGGTTCGAGTGCAAAGTGTGATGGGTGGTAGCTGAAGGCAGGGACCTTGGCAGCTGATTCTCAGCTCCAGAAGCTGGCTCTTCGTACGTGGAATGCCACCTCTCTGAGAAAGGAACCTGAGTTGGTGTGTGAGATTTAGAGGTTCCGACTAGATATAGTAGGACTCACCTCGACGCATGGCTCTGGCTCTGGAACCAGTTTCCTTGAGAGGGGCTGGACACTCTATCAGTCTGGAGGTGCCCCACTGAAAGGCACCGAGCAGGGACTGGCATACTAGTTGCCCCCCCATCTTGGTGCCTGTACGTTGGGGTTTACCCCGGTGAACGAGAGGGTTGCCTCCCTCCGCCTACTTGTGGGGGGACGGGTTCTGACTGTGGTCAGTGCTTATGCACCAAACTACAGGTCAGACTACCCACCCTTTTTGGAGACCTTGAAGCGTTCCATCCAGTGACTCCCTCGTTCTGCCGGGGGACTTATACGCTCACATGGGCAACGACAGTGAGACCTGGAGAGGTGTGGTGGGGAGGAACGTAGTTGTAGTGTTGTGTTGGCTGACGCAGCTCTGCAATATTGTGTGGACATCGGGGGCAGTTCCACTAAACTGGCAGACCGGTGTGGTGATCTCCCTGTTTAAAAAGGTAGACCACAGGGTGATCACACCCTGAACTACAGGGGGATCACACTCCTGAGTCTCACTGGTAAAATCTATTCAGGGGTCCTGGAGAGGAGGGTCCAACAGATTGTCAAACCTCAGATTCAGGAGGAGCAATGTGGTTTTTGTCCTGGCTGTGGAACACTGGACCAGCTCCATACCCTTAGGGGGCTCCTGGAGGGTGCGTGGGAGTTCGTCCAACTAATCTACATGTGATTTGTGGATTTGGAGAAAGTGTTCAATTACGTCCCTCGGGGTGGGGGTGGGGGGAGGGGGCTTTGGGGTGTACTTCGTGAGTATGGGGTACCAGGCCCTCTGATACAGGCTGTTAGGTCCTTGTATGACCGGTGTCAGAGCTTTGTCCACTTTGCTGGCAGTAAGTCTGGCTCGTTTCCAGTTAGAGATAGACTTTTCCAAGACTGCCCTTTGTCACCAATTCTGTTCATAACTTTTATGGACAATATTTCTAGGTGAAGCTAAGGTGTTGAGGGGGTTCGATTTGGTGGCTCCTTGAACCGTCACCTTATCGTGGTGGAGGAGTTTGAGTGCCCTAATGATTCTAGGAGCTATGTTGTCTGGGGCACTTTGTGCCCCTGGTAGGGTCTCCCATGACAAATTGGTTTTAGGTGAAGGGTGAGACAAAGAACGGTTCAGAGGATCTTTCATGGATGAACTATCAAGGAGTCGGAGTGCCCGGCCCGCAGGGTTACCGGGGTCCGACCCTGGAGCCAGGCCTGGGGTTGGGGCCCGTGAGCGAGCGCCTGGTGGCCAGGCTTTCGCCCATGGGGCCCGGCCGGGCCCAGCCCAAACCGGATACATGGGCTCATCCAACTGTGGACCCACCACCTGCAGGAGGAACATGAAGGGTCTGGTGCAGTGTGGATCGGGTGGCAGACTGAGGCGGGAGCCTTTGCGGTCCGATCCCCGGACAAGGAAAGTGGTTTTTGGGACATGGAACGTCACCACGCTGGTGGGCAAGGAGCAGGAGCTTGTGGCAGAGGTTGAGCGGTACCGGCTAGATATAGTCGGACTCACCTCGACACATAGCATTGACTCTGGAACCCAAGTCCTTGAGAGGGGTTGGACACTCTCCTTTGCTGGAGTTGCTCCGGGTGAGAGTCGAAGGGCTGGGGTTGGCTTTTTGTTAGCCCCAAGACTCTCTGCCTGTGTTTTGGGGTTTACCCCGGGGGATGAGAGGGTAGCTTCCCTGCGCCCTCGGGTCGGGGAATGGGTCCTGACTGTTGTTTGTGCTTATGGGCCAAATATTAGTTCAGAGTACCCACCCTTTTGGAGTCCCTGGGACGAGTGCTAGATAGTGCTCCATCAGGGGACTCCATTTTCCTGCTGGGGGACTTCAATGCTCACATGGGCATTGACAGCATGACCTGGAGGGGTGTGACTGGGAGGAACGGCCTGCCTGATCTGAACTCGAGTGGTGTTTCATTATTGGACTTCTGTGCAAGCTGCAGTTTGGCCATAACGAACACCATGTTCGAACATAAGGATGCCCATCGGTACACTTGGTACCAGGGCAGCCTAGGTCGCAGGTCGATGATAGACTGTGTAGTCATATCATCTGAGCTGCGGCCGTATTTTTTGGACACCTAAGTGAAGAGAGGAGCGGAGCTGTCAACTGATCACCACCTGGTGGTGAGTTGGATCAGATGGCAGGGGAAGATGCCGCGTAGACCTGGCAGACCCAAATGCATAGTGAGGGTCTGCTGGGAATGCCTGGCAGAAGAACCTGTCAATACGGTCTTCAACTCCCACCTCCGGCAGAGCTTTGACTGCGTCACGAGAGCAGTGGGGGACATTGACTCCGAGTGCGCCTTGTTCCACTCTGCGATTGTTGAGGCGACTGTTGCTAGCTGTGGTCGCAAGGTGGCCAGTGCCAGTCGTGGTGGCAAGCCCCGTACCCTCTGGTGGGCACCAGAGGTACAGGGAGCTGTCAGGCTGAAGAAGTAGGCCTACAGGGCGTGGCTGGTCCGTGGTGTATCCGGAAGCAGCAGACAGGTACTGGATAGCCAAGCGGGGTGCAGCAGTGGCAGTTGCCGAGGCAAATTTTCAGGCATTTGAGGAGTTTGGTGAGGCCATGGAGAAAGATTATCGATCGGCTCCAAAGAGGTTCTGGCAAACTGTCTGGCGCCTCAGGAGAGGGAGGCAGCAACTCGCTCACACTGTTTACAGTGGGGATGGGGAGCTGCTGACGTCAACTGGGGCTACAGTCAGATGGTGGAATTCCACTACGTGCATTCCGAGGAGGAAACAGAGCCGGGAGACCTGGGGATAGACTGTCAAATTTTGGGGGCAGAAGTTGCTGAGGTAGTCAAACAACTACACAGCGGCGGAGCCCCGGGGGCGGATGAGATTAGTCCTGGGTATCTCAAGACTATGGATGTTGTAGGGCTGTCGTGGCTGACACATCTCTGCAACATTGCATGGTCATCGGGGGCAGTGCCTGTGGAGTGGCAGACCGGGGTGGTGGTCTCCATCTTTAAGAAGGGTGACCTGAGGGTGTGTTCCAACTATAGGGGGGTCACACTCCTCAGCCTCCCTGGAAAGGTCTACTCCAAGTTACTGGAGAGGAGGGTCCGATCGATAGTTGAATCTCAGATTGAGGAGGAGCAAAATGGTTTTCGTCCTGGCCGTGGAACTGTGGACCAGCTCTATACCCTTGCAAGAGTGATGGAGGGGGCATGGGAGTTTGCCCAACCAATCCACATGTGTTTTGTGGATTTGGAGAAGGCTTATCACTGTGTCCCCAGGGGCACCCTGTGGGGAATGCTCCAGGAGTATTGGGTGGGTGGCTTTCTGTTAAGGGACATTCAGTCCCTGTACCAGAGGAGCGTGAGTTCGGTCCGCATAGCCGGTAGTAAGTCGGACCTGTTCCCGGTGAGGGTTTGACTCCACCAGGGCTGCCCTTTGTACTGGTTCTGTTCATTACCTTTATGGACAGAATTTCTAGGCGCAGCCATGGTATGGAGTGTGTCGAGTTTGGTGGCAGGAGAATCTCTTCTCTGCTTTTCGCCGATGGTGTGATCCTCCTAGCTTCATCCAGCTCTGACCTACAGCTCTTGCTGGGTAGGTTCGCGGCCAAGTGTGAAGCGGCTGGGATGAGGATCAGCACCTACAAATCTGAGACCATGGTTCTCGACCGGAAAAGGGTGGCTTGCCAACTCCGGGTCGGGAGAGAGGTCCTACCTCAAGTGGAGGAGTTTAAGTATAGACTTTTACACACACACACACACACACACACACACACACACACACACACACACACACACACACACACACACACACACACACACACACACACACACACACACACACACACACACACACACACACACACACACACACACACAGCTCCTCCCACACATATTTGGTGAGTTTTTCTCAGTATGGAGCAACAAGGAAAGGTGAGCTAACGCTTTTTCTTTTATCCTGAAACTAGAATCGTCTGTACACGTTCGTCTCTGCTTCCTCTGGTGTTTCTCTGTTTGTCTGGTTTAGTTTCATAACCGTAGATGAGGATGGCTCAGTCAGATTTCCTAACAAAGACACCTACATTAGTATAAATTAAACTCTTCTGATGGCAGACACCATAATTAAACCTAAACATAACAAATCTGTCATCATATATCCATATATTGAATTTTATTATTTGTTTGATGCAGTAGATGTATAAATAGTCGGAATGGCAGTTAAACATGACTAGACTGTTTTCCTTGCTGTTTCTAAAACTCCATGTGGGTCGCTTTCATGGTGAAGCTCTTTTTATTGTCCCCAGATTAAACAGCTGTTAGCTACACACCGTTTTACAGCTGAAGCTTCTTCAAAACAAAGTTAAACTCTTGGTGTGTAGAGTTTTCAGCAAAGCTTCTGAGGCATCTGGAGATTAACAGATTAGTTTCAGTGGCTGAGGTTTCCCAGAGCCTCTCGTGTTGGTCCCAACTATTTCAGTTGTTTTTGCTTATCTTCAGGAAACAAATTCTCCATTTTGTCATCAAACCTTTCAGCTTCGTTGCACGAACACCAATCTTTCTCTATCTGACAAGTCAGGTTTAATAACAGCTACAACAAGAAGGATGCCAGGATTTTTCTGGTCCAAAATTAAAACCTGATCTGCAACAGTTACAACTTTCTAGTTTATATAAATAACCTGGACCAGCGTCTTGTATTTGTGGGCATAAATTTACAACAATGTGAAAGCATGCTCTGTGGGACTTTTTCACCTCCATCTGCAGACGGGGACTAAGGAAATCTCCAGATCTCTTTTCAAATAACCAACATCTAGCAATCATTCAAGTTCAGTCCAATACCAATGTTAAAGCTGGTGCCAGTGGGGTATCAGGTCACCATGGTGACCAGCAGCAGGTCATTGTTTTATTATGATACCAATGAGAGAAACACTGCATCTGTACACACACTCACACTCTTCCATTGTCACGATTGATGGACTTTTTCACAAGCCAGTGAAGCACAGGTTGCATTCAAGTTCATCAGGAGCATCCAACACTACAAACCACAGCAACATGTCATTTGGAACAAAAACAGAACATCCAGTCTGATATGTAGAATCTGGATAATGAATAAAAGGAGTCACAATAGAACCATGGTTCTAAAGGGAAGTCATGATAACATACCTAAGTGATTAGACACCACTGCACAGCTGCTGCATGACTGCAGAACAAGTTCCTGAAACTTTCTTGGTTGGGGATTGTTGGAACTTGCAGCCTTCCGTTTGGGGAAAAAGATAAATGGAAATTTTGTCAGCTGCAGTAAAAATGTCTGTTTATTCATTTTGATTGCCCCCCTTGTTGACACATGTACATCACATCCTAGTTATGTGATAATAATAACAGTTGTAAGTCTGTGGTGCTGCTGCATGAGCAAGGAAGGTGAAAAAGAAGCTGATGCACTGAAATACCAGTGTGTCAGGAGGACCTTCCTAATGAATTTACTGCTTTCATGAAAAACTGTTCATCTGAACTCAAATAACTCACAGTGAGAAGGTTGTAGGTTAAAACTCCAGCTGTGGTCTTTCTGCGTGGAGTTAGCATGTTCTCCACATGGATGCGTGGACTTAGCATGTTCTCCTCATGGATGCTTGGAGTTAGCATGTTCTACTCATTGATGCATGAAGTTAGCATGTTCTCATGGATGCGTGGAGTTAGCATGTTCTCCTAATGGATGCATGTATTTAGAATGTTTTCCTTATGGGTGTGAGGAGTTATGTTCTCCTCATGGATGCGTGGAGTTAGCATGTTCTATTCATGGATGCATGAGGTTAGCATGTTCTCATGGATGCATGGAGTTAGGATGTTCTCATGGATGTGTGGAGTTAGCATCTTCTCCTCATGGATGTGTGGTCTTAGCATGTTTTCCTAATGGATGTATGGACTTTCTCTGGCTGCTCCAGTTTCCTCCCACAGACCAAAAACATATATGTCAGGCTAAGTGGAGAATCTAAATAGTCCCGTGGTTTGACTGACTGAATGTTTGTCTCTGTGATGGACTAAAGACCTGTCCATGGTGTCCCCCACCACTCACCTGGTGACTGCTGGATCACCAGCTCCCTTTGACCTGACTAAGCAATAAGAACATTGATGTATAACCTTGTACCTTGAGAACACCAGAAACAGTTTTGTATTATGTCCACCGTGGTCGGGCATTGAAGAATCAAACATGGCTGCAGAAACCAACCTCAGATCAGGATGATAGAGAAATGCTTCATCGACTCTTTTTCAGTCTAACAGATCCCTCCAGGACTCCACATGATAATGTTAAGGCACTTGTCCCAAACCCAGGTGGAGAGCAGAAACCACCAGAAGCTGCAGCAGGAGACAACAGCGACCATGATTGACTTGAGCTTCCTAACAGAGGAGGAGCAGGAGAGCATCCGGGCCGTACTGAAAAGAGACGCTGATCTGAAGAGAGTGGAGGAGAAACGCATTCAGTGTGTATTTGTGCTTTGTTGACTTGTTCCTGCTAACGAATATCAAGATTGTAATAAGATCTCAGTTGTCTGTACCTTCATGAATAATCAGTTTAGATTGAAGACTAAACAAACTAGAGGGAGCCTTATAAATGGTGTACAGAACAAGCATGGCTTTAGTCTACAGAAGCAGGGCATGTTTCATTATAGATGCACTCAAACACTGATGAAGAGCAACGTGGGTCTCTGTTTTTACATCAAACATGCTCACACATGTGAAGCAGTTGGTTCTACCAAGGCCACCTCCCAATGCTAACCTCAGCTAGAAACATACAGTGGGGTAAAAAAGTATTTAGTCACCACCGCACACACTCATCTTTGATTAACAGGAAGGCGAGAAGCGCGGGACCATTATTACATTAACATGATGGGACATGTTGGTAGGGACACATCTTTAAAAGATGAGGAAAGAAAAATAAACAACACTTCAGAAAGGTGAGGAGATGAGTGAAAACAGTACAGGGGACATTATACCATAGTAAGCCGTTTTCAAATGTAATCAGTAATTGGACCTCTCTGTAATTCCTATTTTATAGTAATACATTTATTTATCCTAGTACTAATTGTATTCCTGTTAGTCAACATGACAATGAAGACATTAACAGCTATGCTGTTACTATAGAAAATATAAGAACATCCATAATAACAGCTGCACTAGTGGGGAATAAGTTTCAGGTCTCTCACAATCCCTAAAAACTACAGTGGCCTTTTAAACATTTATTGGGCAGACTGAACATGAATTCCAGATATCAATAATTCTATTGATCCTAGTAGAAATAATCATTCCAGATACCCATGAGAACGTTCTTACTGAATATCTGACATGTTCATCCTTGAACCGTCACCTTATCGTTGTGGAGGAGTTTGAGTGCCCTAATGATACTAGGAGCTATGTTGTCTGGGGCACTTTGTGCCTCTGGTAGGGTCTCCCATGACAAATTAGTCTTAGGTGAAGGGTGAGACAAAGAACGGTTCAGAGGATCTTTCATGGACATACAATCAAAGAGTCGGAGTACCCGGCCCGGAGGGTTACTGGGGTTCTACTCTGGAGACAGGCCTGGGGTTGGGGCCCGTGAGCGAGCGCCTGGTGGCCGGGCTTTCGCGCATGGGGCCCGGCCGGGCCCAGCCCGAACCGGATACATGGGCTCATCCAACTGTGGACCCACCACCCGCAGGAGGAACATGAAGGGTCCGGTGCAGTGTGGATCGGGTGGCAGACCGAGGCGGGAGCCTTGGCGGTCCGATCCCCGGAAAAGGAAAGTGGTTTTTCAGACATGGAACGTCACCTCGCTGGTGGGCAAGGAGCAGGAGCTTGTGGCAGAGGTTGAGCGGTACCAGCTAGATATAGTTGGACTCACCTCGACACATAGCATTGACTCTGGAACCCAAGTCCTTGAGAGGGGTTGGACACTTTCCTTTGCTGGAGTTGCTCCGGGTGAGAGGCAGAGGGCTGGGTTTGGCTTTCTGTTAGCCCCAAGACTCTCCACCTATGTGTTGGGGTTTACCCCGGGGGATGAGAGGGTAGCTTCCCTGCGCCTTCGGGTCGGGGAATGGGTCCTGACTGTTGTTTGTGCTTATGGGCCAAATATCAGTTCAGAGTACCCACCCTTTTTGGAGTCCCTGGGACGAGTGCTCGATAGTGCTCCATTGTCCTGCTGGGGGACTTCAATGCTCACATGGGCAATGACAGCATGACCTGGAGGGGTGTGATTGGGAGGAACGGCCCGCCTGATCTGAACTCGAGTGGTGTTTCATTATTGGACTTCTGTGCAAGCCGCAGTTTGGCCATAACGAACACCATGTTCAAACATAAGGATGCCCATCGGTACACTTGGTACCAGGGCAGCCTAGGTCGCAGGTTGATGATAGACTTTGTAGTCGTATCATCTGACCTGCGGCCGCATGTTTTGGACACCCGAGTGAAGAGAGGAGCGGAGCTGTCAACTGATCACCACCTAGTGGTGAGATGGATCAGATGGCAGGGGAAGATGCCGCGTAGACCTGGCAGACCCAAACGTGTGTGGGGTATCCGGAGGCAGCAGACAGGTACCGGATGGCCAAGCGGGGTTCAGCAGTGGCAGTTGCCAAGGCAAAATCTCAGGCATGGGAGGAGTTTGGTGAGGCCTTGGAGAAAGACTGTCGATCGGCTCCAAAGAGGTTCTGGCAATCTGTCCGGCACCTCAGGAGAAGAAGGCAGCAACTCGCTCACACTGTTTCCATTGGGGATGGGGAGCTGCTGGCGTCAACTGGGGCTATAGTCAGACGGTGGAAGGAATACATTGAGGAGCTCCTCAATTCCACTACGTGCATTCCGAGGAGGAACCAGAGCCGGGAGACCTGGGGATGGACTGTCCAATCTTGGGGGCAGAAGTTGCTGAGGTAGTCAAACAACTACACAGCGGCGGAGCCCCGGGGGCGGAAGAGATTCGTCCTGGGTATCTCAAGGCTATGGATGTTGTAGGGCTGTCGTGGTTGACACGTCTCTGCAAAATTACGTGGTCATCGGGGAAAGTTCCTGTGGAGTGGCAGACCGGGGTGGTGGTCTCCATCTTTAAGAAGGGTGAACTGAGGGTGTGTTCCAACTATAGGGGATCACACTCCTCAGCCTCCCTCGAAAGGTCTACTCCAAGGTACTGGAGAGGAGGGTCCGATCGATAGCTGAATCTCAGATTGAGGAGGAGCAATGTCTTCTGTTGTTGCAACTACAACCGTCACACTGGATTTCGCTTTGGTGTTCATGTTCCATATTCCACCTGTAAGAGAGTCTTCATTTAAAAAATGACCATATGCACAAACACGTTATAAATGGTATCCAAATGAAGGGTGTAACATTTTGTAAGTGGTCACAATTAATCCAATAACCAGTTTCCTTGTCCGGGGATTGGACCGTCAAGGCTCCCGCCTTGGTCTGCCACCCGATTTACACTGCACCGGGCCGTACATGTTCCTCCTGCAGGTGGTGGGTCCACAGTTGGATGAGCCCATGTATCTGGTTCGAACTGGGCCCGGCCGGGCCCCATGGGCGAAAGCCCGGCCACCAGGCAATCGCTCACGGGCCCCAACCCCAGGCCTGGCTCCAGGGTAGGACCCCGGTAAACCTCCGGGCCGGGTACTCTGACTCTTTGTTTTAACGTCCATGAAAGATCTTCTGAACCGTTCTTTGTCTGGATGAGGATCAGCACCTCCAAATCTGAGACCATGGTTCTCGACCGGGAAAGGGTGGCTTGCCAACTCCGGGTCGGGAGAGAGGTCCTACCTCAAGTGGAGGAGTTTAAGTATCTCGGGGTCTTGTTCACAAGTGAGGGTAGGAGGGATCGGGAGATCGACAGGCGGATTGGTTCGGCGTCTGCAGTGATGCGGACGCTGAGCCGATCTGTCGTGGTGAAGAAGGAGCTGAGCCAGAAAGCCAGGCTCACCGATTTACCGGTCGATCTACCTTCCAATCCTCACCTATGGTCATGAGCCTTGGGTAATGACCGAAAGAACGAGATTGCGAATACAAGTGGCCGAAATGAGTTTCCTCCGTAGGGTGGCCAGGCTCAGCCTTAGAGATAGGGTGAGGAGCTCAGACATTCGGGAGGGACTCGGAGTAGAACCGCTGCTCCTCCGGATCAAAAGGAGTCAGTTGAGGTGGTTTGGGCATCTGGTCAGGATGCCTCCTGGACGCCTCCCTGGGGAGGTGTTTCGGGCATGTCCTGCCGGTAGGAGGCCCCCGGGATGACCCAGGACACGTCGGAGAGGTTACATCTCCAATCTGGTGCGTGAACGCCTTGGGGTCCTGCCGGAGGAGGTGGTGGAGGTGGCTGGGGAGATGACGGTCTAGAGCTCCCTAGTTGGGATGCTGCCCCCGCGACCCATACCCAGATAAGCGGAGGAAGACGACAACGACATTTAGTTAAAAAATCTTTGACATTTCAGAAATTAGAGAGCGCAACTGCGTTATAGAAGATAAAAGTAACATTACAGTTACTTTGCTCGGTAACTAATTACTTTTACAATGTGATATCTGAGTTACTATCTCATTTGCTTTTTGAAAAAAATAAATGTTTAACAAAAACTAATTGCTTTCTAACGTCAGATGCCCAACACTGCTTTCCACCATAATTTGCAAATAAATTCTTTAAAAATCAGACAATGTGATATTCTGGATTTTTCCCTTTTTGTTTCTCATAGTTGAGGTGCACCTATGACGAAATTATCGGCCTCTCTGATCTGTTAAAGAGAACATCCACAGTTGGAGGCAGACTAAATACTTTTTGTGATTGAATCTGGTCTTATTTGACCCCAGGAACCTTCAGAGCACTGTGGCTGACAAAAGACTGCTGAAGTACCTGACAGGAGAATGGTTCTATAAGGCCAAGCAGCATCGCCATCAGGACCGAATCCATGGCTCTGACATCATCAGAGCCTCCATGAGAAAAACAAACAAGCCTTTGACTCTGTGTAAGTCTGTTACATCTACATCTTTTCACATTCTCCTGTGAACAATTAAACATCAGAATACGGGGTTAGAAGGCTATCGTTGATGAAGATTAGTGAGTAATAACTTCCAGATGAAGTACATCTCTGTCTGCCCTTCCTCTCCTGAGGGGCGGTGTGTGTAAACCAGATGTGGACAGTCAGATTAAGATGCAGAATCCAATTTAATTGGATTCAGGTGTTTAGTGAATGAAACTCCAAACACAAGGCTGTCTCCTATAGAGACCATTGTGTAGTGAACCATCATGTCCCATGTAGTGAAAATTTTGAACTCTGTGATCTGTCGGCCCCAAACTGATATTAGCAGAGATCGGTGTGTGTGTGTGTGTGTGGGGGGGGGGGGGGGGGGGGGGGGAACAATACAGAGAGGCTGAAAATGGTCATGAGGCTGCATTTCAAAGAAACGTCCAACCCGATGTCTTCGTATTCAAGTTCATGGACATCCATCCATGTCGTAACACTAATCACCAGGGGTGGGTTTGGTGTGATGGAGTGGATAAAAACTTGACTGTGTTTTGTGCTGCAGTGGAGCTCTGTAACATGCCACCTGAGAGGTCCAGCTTTGTCAGCAGTGAAAACAGAGATGTGATCATCCCGCCGGTTCTCTCTGGGATCCTCGAGGTGCCCGAGGTCCGGACCGGCTCAGATGGGTGAGCAGGAACAAGAACCAACTGCTAACGAGTTCTGAGGTGGTGTGGTGAAGTCTAAACCAGGAACTAGTGAAGTAAAGCACACCAACACCATTTCTAATAAAAAGGTACAGAAATAAATATATAAGGAGTATTTATCTGCTGAGTTCGATGGCATTCAGGAAGTGAGAGCACGATCCCACAAACACAAAACAGGAAGAGGCTGGGAAGAAAAAAAATCTAACAGTTCTGGTTGATTTTTACTTTCTTGTTCATTTAGAAACAGCAAAGATGAAAAGCAGGATTCAGTCTCGTCTTCCTGCAGCTCCTCTCTTTGGGCTGCGAAAGTCCTGGGTCATGGTTAGAGGAAACAGGAAGTCATGTGATCCCACTAGGTTGGGTCCAACATGTAAAGGTGTGAGCTCAGCTCCCTGGTCCTGCAGAGCTGCTATCCAACATGTTGTAGAGGTTTCCCTGCATCAACACACCTGTGATTAACAGGCCTGATGAGCTACTGAACAGGTGAATCAACAGTGTTGTAGCAGCAGAAAAAGTACAACATGCTGGACAGCGGCTCTCCAGGACCAGGGTTCCCTACCCCTGGCCTAGACCTTTAAACCGTCCATAAACTGGATTTAGGAACTTGGACCATCACCTTGTTGGTCGGAATGAACCAGGGACTGCTGTGTAGATGTGTGAGTCCACCAGAAGCTTGTTCATGTCCATTTTCAGAGATTTTCAGTCGTTGTTAAAGTTCCAGGATGAACCAGAGGTGTGTGAACTCAACAAAATCAGTTCCAGATGTTACCATCAAGAGCCCAAGGCCCAAAGACAAAACTCTGAAGAACTGGATGACAGAGGACGTTTGTTTCTTCATGAAGAAATCCTGTTACTTTCATAGCAGATGTTGTCTGGTTGAACTTTACAGCTGCTGGAGTGTGTTTGCATTACTAACTGATTCTCCAGTTATTGCTGATCTTCTTACAGCTATCACATGATCCTGGTTTTCACAGAGAGTTAGTCACAATCTTCTAACAACAAAGAGGTATGACCTTACAGACCAGTGGATCTCAATCTTATGTACCACGAACCACCTTAGGACCCACTAATCTCTCTGAGAACCTTCATAATGGCTCAAACGCAGTCGTAAAAGCCACCTCTTTACCAGCAGTGGGTCTGGGGCCTCATTTGTAAACCATAGCGTGGAATCCTTACTAAAACCCTACTTGAGCTCAACACAAACAAAATGTACTCACGCAAACTCATTTTCCAACCTATTAAAACTCTGCATACGTACCGCTCACCCAATCCCACCGCAGCCAAATATCTACACCCACCTCCACATTTGGTCAACTTCCAGATTATAAATCAGTGGACGCCCAGGTAGAGTTGGATCCACCCCCTCCTGGAGATCCCCTCCCACAATGGTGAATAGTATATACATACATAAGTAATGCGGTCCAGCTGCAAAACTCGTCCTGAAATAGCAGTTGAATCAACTTTCACAAATCCCCAACTACGTTTTATAGATTTTTAGTTTAGCCTTGAAGCGTGTAGGTGTTGTAGTTTTATACCTGGAGCAGATTAAAGGTTCTCAAAAAGCAGAAATATTGGTTGGAGTGGCCCTTTCCTAATCTAGAAATCCATCCATCCATCCATCCATTTTCTGAACCCGCTTTGTCCACGCGGGGGGCTGGTGCCTATCTCCAGCGGTCAACGGGCAATCAGGCGGGGTACACCCTGGACAGAGCCAGTCCATCGCAGGGCAACACAAAGACACACAGGACAAACAATCATGCACACACACACACACATCTAAGGACAATTTGGACAGACCAGTCAACCTAACAGTCATGTTTTTGGACTGTGGGAGGAATCCGGAGTACCCGGAGAGAACCCACGCATGCACAGAGAGAACATGCAAACTCCATGCAGAAAGATCCCAGGCCGGGAAGCGAACCCAGGACCTTCTTGCTGCAAGGCAGCAGCTCTAAACACTGCGCAGCCTGATCTAGAAATGGGAACCAATTTCAGTTTAATGGCAAAAAAGTTTAAATGATGGTTCTGATGTTGGGGCTAATATTCACTGTGATATTGTTTCAGTCAACTATAAATAGTGTGTTTGAGCTCAGGGAATGAAGGAATGAGATGGAATAGCCCTTTCTGAGTCAGAAACTGCGAACCATCTTCAGCTTTGTGTCCTACGACCCATTTTTATTGAGCTTGAACTGAAAGTTAAAAAGTCTTTATAAATCAAATTTAGAGACAAAATACTTTTTTCACTTTTACTTTTTTTGTAGTCAAATAAAAATGGAGTGGAAGAAATTTTTGATAAAAGAAAAGATGAAAAGTAAAACATTCAATGTTTGCTTCTCATTCATTCATACAGGTCTCAAGCCCATTCAACTCATGAAGCCATTCACAGTCCTCAAAAAACAGTTTCCCCCTCAAAGGTGCGTGCAGAACAACATCTAGAGGTCAGACACATGTGGCCATAGATCTGGAGGGGTCACGAGTTTCTGTTTCTGTTTTCTCCTGAAGTTAAGAAATAATCCGTTCAACCAGTTTATGGATGCAGATGCTGATAAAGACCTGAGGCCACAGGCAGGTGAGTACCACCTGCATCCATCCATCCATCCATCCTGCTATCCATCCATCCATCCTGCTATCCCTCCATCCGTCCATCCATTCTGCTATCCATTCATCCATCCTGCTATCCATCCATCCATCCATCCATCCATCCTGCTATCCATCCATCCGTCCATCCATTCTGCTATCCATCCATCCATCCTGCTATCCATCCATCCATCCATCCATCCTGCTATCCATCCATCCATCCTGCTATCCATCCATCCATCCTGCTATCCATCCGTCCATCCATTCTGCTATCCATCCATCCATCCATCCTGCTATCCATCCATCCATCCATTCTGCTATCTATCCATCCATCCTGCTATCCATCCATCCATCCATCCATTCTGCTATCTATCCATCCATCCATTCCAAGACAAGTTTTGTTTCCAGAGAACCAACCTCATTTTTGTGTCAGAAGCAGTTTTGTTTTCTGAAATTTGTTCAGTTTCAGTTCTTAATTCTGACCCTTTCAACACACAACACACACACACACACACACACACACACACACACACACACACACACACACACACACACACACACACACACACACACATTGAAACTGTTCTCCAGTTAACATGAACATCTGTGAACCACCTGTCAGCCACCTTTACTCCTGAAGCCTCACCTCAGGGATGACATCTGTATCACTGTTTGGGTTTTCTATGTGATTAAATCAGTGTGAGCTTTACTATACTGTTATAAGGTTTTATAGGACAAATTAAACTTAGTAGAAGAAAAGTGAAAGTTGTAATCTTTCTGTTCCTGGATGGACACATCTCTACATCTCCATCCTGCGTACATGCTGGGGTCACATTGCATCACAGCTGATTATTTCATGATGTTTTGGTTGTGCTACATGTCTGAGACTGTGAGACTAGCGAAGATTTAGATGGAAGCACATTCCAACACGATAATCTTTACCACATGACTCGCTGAAAAAACTGGCAAGTGCTCTGAGGAAAACATCTAGATTATTACAAGTCTGCAGTTTGAGCTGGAAGCATTGACTTGGAGAGCAGGGTTAGAACTAAACAAGTCAGTGATTACATGGATGGCTTAGAAATCAAAGTGTGCATAACATTCCCTCTGTTTTTGCAGATGTTTCTGAGGTATTTTATTCTGAGCCACTAACTGCTGCTGTGTCCAGTTCTGTTACGGCTGAAAAGGAGTCCGATCAGCCAGCTGAGCTGGAGACAGAACCTGAAGAGGACGATCTCCACCATGCCAAAGCTGGAAACACACCAGCTTCTTCATTTACCAAGTCCTCACCTAACAAAAACTCATCTCCTGATCTCAAGGCCAGAAAACCCGAGGTGGGACTTTTGATTGTCCCAGAGCAGAATCCACCCAGTGAGGACCCACTTGTCTCTGAACAGGACAATGAAGAAATACACCATAACTTTGGTTCTGATGAGACTGTGGACACAACCAAAATGACACCATCCCAGTTTAAAGAAGTCAGATCTCCACAGCTTTCTGCACTGCAGAACACTCCGTCTAAAGAAGCTCTGACCTCATTAGGCTCAGATGTGAAGACGAATAAATCAGTGAATCAGGCAACTCTGTGTTCAGAGGGACCATCTCATGTGGAAGCATCTTCACAGGATAAAAACAGAGTTCATCAATTTAGGTTAACTGGAGAAAAAGCAAGCCATGAAGATGTTACCTTCACAGAAATGGATGATCCTCTTGGCCCAAAGACTCTCTCTGGTGTCAGAAAGAACTCCAATCAGCAAGAATTAAGAGCGGAGGAGCCATCACCAGAACATGGTTTCTCCTCACAGGCTGAACACAAGTCACCTCTACCTAAAGACAACGGCACATTCAGAGCTAACCTTGTCCTCATCTGTGAGAAGACAGATGGTCCTTCAGCAGGTTCAGATCCAGGGTTAAGGGCTTCTGGATCAAAGAAAGGCACAGTGTCTCCTGAACCATGCCCAGCAGTTATCCCAGTTCCTCCTCCCACATCTGAAGAGGAAAGTCCAGGTAAGATCAGTGAGCTCAGACATTTCTGGGAAAGGAAAAATACTCCAATCATCATCATCTCTAGAAGAGTGACGGAAGAGGCACAAACCAGTCCAGATGAAACCAGTTTAAACCCCAATGAGTCATTAAAGGGGACAGACCTGAATCATGTCTATCCAGAACAGTTATGGTTCAGCACTGCTGGTAGTCCAGGAGGTCCACAACCGCCATGTCACCAAGAGCACATGAGAGCTGATACCGGGTCAGACCGAAAGGAGCTCAGTCCTGAACAACCTCAAAGATCAAAGGGCAAGGATGAGAAAGTCAGGAGGAGTCCATCAAAGACCTACAACCCAAAGGTCCTTCCTCTGGAATCCTCAAGCACCAAAGGATTCAGGCTGGAAGGGTCCCCTCTCAAAACCTTCCCAACAGACATCGACCCCAAAGTCACGGAGCACATGAAGCCAGCTACGGTTCCAGGAGTGAAGAGAAGTCCCGTTAATGTTGGAGAGCAGACAGACCCAGACCCTAGACAAGATCTCACCTCTCTTGTAAACACACAGAGAGGATCAAACACCTCGGCTTTAGCAGATTCCAAACAGGTTTCAGAAAATTTATCGGAATCTTCTATACAACTCACAAAAGCCCTCACCCCCCAGAAGGATCTCAGGCATCAGGGGAAGGTGCGTAGTCCTTCTCACCAAGACGAGGCAGCTGCTGAAGACAGACAACAAGGAGTCAGTGAAGATGGAAACTCTGGCCTCTGGTCCCTCACTGGGACAGCGTCCCAGGACAACCCAGGCAGTGAGATCTGATTTTCTGTCTCCACTGATAATCACAAAGATGATCCTTTAAACTAATTTGAACACGATCAAATCAATGTGTCCATGTTGTGCAGTTAAATAAGCTAATCCTCTGGGATGGTAGTAAGTAAGTACACCTGCTTTGATACAAAAGCTTCAGGACAAAATGAGCCGTCACACGACCTCACCTTTATGATCAGGTAAACACCACCTGCAGCGAGCAACAAGGCGGTACTCGTTCTGAAGTTTCATTGTTGACAACTGAAAGGTTAAAACACAGATGCAGCGTGTGAAAAACTAAATCCTCGCTCCGCAGCAGGAAGCGGGATGCTCCGTTGGGTTTCCACACCAGGAAATACCCCGACCGCAATCCACTGGAATGGTGTAAAAAGAGCACAGACAGCTGTTCTGAGATCCATCATGGCAGCTTGATTTCATAATCATTTGTTCAGGTTACATATTTCCTGGATGTTTGGACATTTCCTGAAAAAGAACAGGAGTCCAGAACGCTTGCTGCTCTGGAGCATACAGGGGTGTGTTAACACAAGGACTAAAAACATCTGTAGCTTTCCACACAGCTGGTGTCTTTTATTTAGAACCTGTTGGAAGATGTTTTGGTTTGATCTGGTGAATCCTACTAAAGGAGGGTGTACTTACTTTTACCACGACTGAGCACCAACTCGTCGCTGTGTTTCAGCTTGTGTCAATCAAAATGCTTAGATAACATCTGAATGTGTAGAAGCATTAACATGAGCTGCTAATTGACTGATTTGACCTCCTAACAATATCATCTGTTACAAAGGCAAGGGAGCGTCCTCTGAATCTACATGACTGAAACGTTTAATAACCGATCTCCTCCACAGCTCACGGTGAAATCTCCAGCCCCAATTCATCTGCACTCAAACGATTATCTTCAAGGAACATGATGTCATCCAAAAGTCTAGAAGAACTCACCTCTCAGACAAGTAAAACATTGTTTAATGTGTGTTATTTTACGAACATCATGCCATGTTTGCGCAACAACTGTCTTTTTGCTAAATATGTTTTCTAAAGAAAAATTCTTCTTTAATATGTACATTTTATAAATCTAGTAATAAAACATTTACTAGATCTGCCCAAAGTCCGAGAAACCAGCAAAGCTATGCACCCCTGCAGGAATGTGTAAAGTATTGTGTGTTTTTTCTCTCCTGCGTTTGAACCCTACCAGCCGCTTCGCTGCCTACGGTGATGAAGACCAGTTTTTCTACGCTTGGCCTTCAAAAGAAGGAGGTAAATCTTGTATTTTGATTTTGACACCAAACACGTTCCGGCTTGTTTGTTTTTGAATCATGTTTTTCTCGTTGTTGATGTCAGATGGACAGCGACAGCCTGCTTCAGAAAACTCCCAATAGCTCCATGTCCAACTTGAGTCTCTCTTCAGGAATGGCCTCCTTATCATCTGTAAGTCTACATACGACTGCAGGGTGATGCAATATTTCACATGTCTAGAAGCTATAGCAGCATAACCAAAGTGTAGCGTTGTTAATCTACATAACTACAATTTAACGCTGTTGCTATTCAGCTTTGTTGAACCCTGAGAAAGATCAAACAAATTGGCAATGAAACTTATATATATATATATACATTCACTTCCACTCAGAACTAAATGCTTCTCCGGATCCGCTGGTTCTGAACAGCATTCCACACACACCACCATCATTCATCACGTCTCACTCCACCTTAGTTCCATCAGCACTCAGAGTGTTAAATTTAGTCTTGTTTAAATTGTGTAGAAATAAATGTCTTAACTATTTTAAACCTGACTCTCTCTCTTTCCTTGGAGTTAATACGAAGTGTCGCTTAATCCCTGCAATAAAAAGTTCCGATCTTCTGGTTAAAATATTCAAAGATCCATCAGATTGATATTTCATATTTCTATGGAATCTCACATTTTATGGTTCATAAGTAAGATGTGAATGGCCCGTTCTTTACAGGGGATAGTGGCGGAAATACTGTACCGGCCACTTCAATTGCAAATCTACTTGGCTAAATAAATGCATTTAATTTTAAACAAACTACTAAAACTAATTATATTTCATGTGCCTGTCCGTTTTACATTTAGTCCAGTGTGTAAATGTTTGGGTGTATTCTAAAATACTGATGAAAGCAGAAGCACATCTGTGAGCGATCATGATCCAGGATGGGTGTTTTTGTTTCTTCCTGCTGTCACCTGTGAGCAGGTGAGCAGCAGCATGACCAGCGTCCACACTATAGACTCTGGAGGTGTCGAGGTCCAGGGGACCATCCAGTTTGCAGTCAACTACATCCAGAAGACTGGAGAACTTCAGATCTTTGTGGTACTCTGCAGGGGTCTGGTCATCGCTGACGTCAAAAAGAACCGTTCTGACCCGTGAGAGAGTCTCATTAAATCTATCTTCAACAGGGAAATAAGAACAGAAACAGTTGTCATCCAAATGTTGCAGTTAAAACCAAAGCAGACGTGATTTAAACAGCTGACTCACTTTCTTGACATGCTTAGAATAACTAACCAATCCCGTGTTTTTGCAGGTATGTGAAATGTTACCTGCTTCCTGACAAAACACGCTTGGGCAAGAGGAAAAGTAGCGTTAGAAAGAAGACGGTAAACCCAACTTATAACGAAATCCTCAAAGTGAGAATACATTCTTTAAATCTATCTAAAATAATTGTTGTATACATCTAGGTGTCTCTGCCAGCAGCATTTTAACCCTTTGTGTATAAATAATAATAACCTGTAAAGAAAATGTTCTTTGTCTTTTCTTTATGTTTATGTTTATGCATTTAGCAGACGCTTTTGTCCAAAGCGACTTACAAGTGATAATCGACATATTGCCCTTGAGGCTAACAACAACAATAACAACAACAATGGAGAGTAGGGAACAAGGAATGGACAGTAGAGAGGGAGGACGGGTGCAGGGAGGGTGCTAGAAGATGCTCTCTGAAGAGCAGGGTCTTCAGGAGTTTCTTGAAAATTAAAAAGGAAGCTGCTGTTCTGGTAGTGCTTGGAAGGTCATTCCACATTTGTGGAACGATGCATGAGAAAAGTCTGGATTGTCCTGAGCGTGGTGTAGGCACTGCTAGCCCACGATCCTGTGATGCTCCAGTTCACAGAAACTCCTCTAAAGGTACAGAAGCAACCAGGTGAAATTAAATTTAGTAGATTATAAAATGTAATAAATTCCATTATAAAACAGGTCAGTTCAGCTGTTAAATCAGGGGTTTTCAACTCCACCGTCTAGTCAAGCTCAAGCCCTGCTTCAGTTGCAAAGGACTTTAAATAAACTGACAGAACTGAAGAAAAATGATCTTTCTAATGTAAAGAAAGCACTTCCTCACCATCTTCTCGTACCTGTTTGTTTTTGTAGTTTAAGGTCACGATGGAGGAGTTGAAAAAGCAAAATCTCAACATCTCCGTGTGGCACAATGACCCTTTAGGGCGGAACAGCTTCCTGGGGGAGGTGGGCCTGGATTTGTCTAAGTGGGACTTCAACAACACAGAACTAAATGAATACATCCTCAAATCCAGGGTAAGATCCTGTTTATGTGTCTGGTGTTTACATGGTTACACACATCCTCCTCTTCCCTCAGGCTTCAGCACAGACCTCAGCATGTCCACGGGACAAAGGACAGATGAGAGTAGGCCTCAGATTTGTCCCACACACGTCCCACAGTGAGCTGAACAACTTTCAGGTTCTCTTTCTCTCATGTTGGTTTTGTTGTCAGTACCTTTAACGTGGTCCTCCTGCTTCCACAGGTAAGGGCAGCTCCAGACCGGAGGCTGGAGAGCTGCTGATCTGGGTGAAGGATTGCAGGAATCTTCCTCCCAGCATCAATCCATTTGTGAAATGGTAGGAAATCTTCATGTTGTGTCATTAAATAGAACAACCATAGTTGCTCGTTATCTTCACACAAGGATCGCTGTTGTGGTTCCTCTCAATATGTCCATTCTCATTCAGAACAGCTGATCCTGCTCTGCTCATCAAGGTTAGAGTGGAAAGTTTGAGAATCAGTCAGTGGGAATCTGGCAGTTTAGGCTCTGTGCTTTTGCCCCTCAACTCCTGGTGTAGTGATGGGATGTCCTTCCACATCAAAATGTGAACAGTATGAGGAGGATGAGCCAAGCCTGAGGAGAAGGGGCCAAGCTGGTGACCAATATGAGCAGCTGGACAAACAGTGGGACAAATCTATCCAGGTGATGGAGATGGACCATGGACCATGGTAGTGGTGCAGCCAGAATGATCTAGAGGTAGTTTTAGGAAACATCTGCTCCACCTGCACAGATCACAGGGGACATTGTGGAGTCTTTCTGGGGCTTCACCTTCACTCAGGACCTGAAGGTGGAGCTGAAACTCACCTCCCCACCCCCAAAAGCACAGCAGTGGTCCCAAGTTCATTTTTTATCCATGGATGAAATAGAGAGCAGGAACTGCACACAAAGTATACGTGTACTTTTAAACATTGCAACCCTTGTAAAACATAAAAACTGTAGTTCCTGTTAAATGTTTACTACAACAACCTTGTTTTCACCACTGATGGTTTGATTTCAGCAGCAGAAGATGAGATTTGATTCTAGAGACTGATAATCTGTCCTGAGTCAAGGAGACACAAATGCAATCAACACATTGGTGGAAAGCTCTAACTTCACTCTCACTGCAGCACCGTCCTCCCTGACATGAGCCAGAAGAGCCGACAGCAAACACGCGTGGTGAAGAACACAGCCAACCCCATGTTCAACCACACCATGGTGTATGACGGCTTCCAGCCTGAGGACCTCAAAGAGACGTGTGTGGAACTCACAGTGTGGGATCACGTCCGACTGAAGAACCACTTCGTAGGTGGTGTGAGACTGGGACCAGGGACAGGTAGGATTTCACTACCAGGTGTTTGTCTTAGCAAATGGTTTAATGTGGGAATATGTGGTGATTAACGGGCATTTGGAGCAGAGCACAGTCACATGTTGTGTCTTATTGCTGTAAAAGATCTTCAGTCACACGTCAACAAAATGTCAAATAAATCAACTTAAAGAGGTCCTTCACTGAGAATCCATTTTAAAATGATTACTTCTGGTTATAATGAGTCACTCTGAGGTTTTTAAGCAGGCTGAACATGAAAATAGTCTCCTACGCCTACCTCCTGCATTAGCTTCTGATAGAAAACGGACAGTGAAACTCTAGGATTAAAAAACCTGACAGATCTACATCACACTGAACATTCATGGACTCACCCATCTTGACTCACGATGGGGAATGCTGTATTTGGTTTAGCATCCAGGAAACAGCAGAGAACATCTCGGCTAATAGAAGCTAACTGTTAGCGTTAGCAACTCCACCACACAGCAGAACTCCTCCAGGCTTGTGTTATTTGTGGCGATAAAACATCAACGTAGCAGAGCAAACAAAGTCAGTGGTAGAGTCATGTTGCTGTTAGCCAATCAGAGGAGAGAGGTCCAAATATCAGGAAGAAAGAGTCCAAATCCTGTCGTCTGAAGCTACTTTCTCCTCCAGCGGAATCCTCTGTGCTGAAACAGGCTTTTATTCCCCAGAGTACGACTTATAAGGCATTCATTCCTACTAGACGCCACTGCAAATGTATTAGAAATATGAGAGAAGGGCCTCTTTAAAGCAGTGTTGATTTTGCTTAAGATATTTAATTTAGTTTAGTCACTTGACTAAAAATATTTTTATTTAAGTCATTGTTTAGTCATTTGTTTAATTCACCTTAGCTTTTAGTTGACTAAAATAAAAATAGCCGATGGCAATCATTTTCATCATTGTCTTGTCTTGTTATTTCTTTGGTTAGTAAAATTTATACAAGAGTCAACAAAATAAATTAATATTAACTTAAAACGAATCACAGTGTGGATAACAGAGGTAGAAAACCAGAAAAATTAGACTTTAATGACAAAAACGTGATGCAGCAACCAAAACTTATGAAAGTAGAAAATGTACTAATAGACGATGTACGTGGGTGAACGAGTGAGCCTTGAGCCGGAAGAGTTCAACAGACTCTGCCTTTGTCTGTAAACTCTGGATTTATAGTCCACCCTGCGCCTGGTCCTCTGATTCATCATCATGGACTTCATCAATGACAAAAAGCAGTGATGCAAAAGGAAGCAGTTATCTCCAAACTCTGATTGCCATGTCAGCGCTAAAATCGTGTGCAAATCAAGTTTTGCCTCATGCTAATTCCCACACGTCCTACTGAGCAGATCCTCTGCTGTCTCTGTGCAGGGAGGAGCTACGGAGTGGAGGTGGCTTGGATGGATTCAGCAGCAAACGAAGTGACTTTATGGCACCAAATGTTACGGTCGAACGGCGAATGGGTGGAGGATGTTTTACCGCTGAGGATGTTGGTGATGGCAAAGAGGATGTCAAAGTCCTCCTGAATACAACCAGCTGCCACAACCGGGAGGAGCGCACCAACACACGTTTAAACGGAGCAGCTTCAACAGAGATGACAGTTCATTTGTAAACTTTAATATATGTGAATAAGTAATTAGAAGCAGGGTGGGCTGGAGTTCCCTTAAGATAACAGATTTCTGTTTTACGAGAGTAAAAGAGTAAATTATAAAGTTACAAAATAAATTTCAACTGAAAACATTTTATAAGACTAAAAACTATTAATTTTTCACTCCTGGAAGTCATATTCAGCAAGTTTCCTTTGAAATGTCAAAGATAATTCCTGTTCAGAGAGAAGTCCGTGAACCTTGAATATGTTCTTGTCGTCGTCTTCCTCCGCTTATCCGGGTCCGGGTCGTGGGGGCAGCATCCCAACTAGGGAGCTCCAGACCGTCCTCTCCCCGGCCTTGTCCACCAGCTCCTCTGGCAGGACCCCAAGGCGTTCCCGGACCAGATTGGAGATGTAACCTCTCCAACGTGTCCTGGGTCGACCTGGGGGCCTCCTGCCGGCAGGACATGCCCGAAACACCTCCCCGGGGAGGCGTCCAGGAGGCATCCTGACCAGATGCCCAAACCACCTCAACTGACTCCTTTCGATCCGGAGGAGCAGCGGTTCTACTCCGAGTCCCTCCCGAATGTCCGAGCTCCTCACCCTATCTCTAAGGCTGAGCCCGGCCACCCTACGGAGGAAACTCATTTCGGCCGCTTGTATCCGCGATCTCGTTCTTTCGGTCATTACCCAAAGCTCATGACCATAGGTGAGGATTGGGACGTAGATCGACCGGTAAATCGAGAGCCTGGCTTTCTGGCTCAGCTCCCTCTTCACCACGACAGAACGGCTCAGCGTCCGCATCACTGCAGACGCTGAACCAATCCGCCTGTCGATCTCCCGATCCCTCCTACCCTCACTCGTGAACAAGACCCCGAGATACTTAAACTCCTCCACTTGAGGTAGGACCTCTCCCCCGATCCAGAGTCGGCAAGCCGCCCTTTTCCGGTCGAGAACCATGGTCTCAGATTTGGAGGTGCTGATCCTCATTCCAGCCACTTCACACTCGGCCGCGAACCTACCCAGCAAGAGCTGAAGGTCAGAGCTGGATGAAGCTAGGAGGACCATCCGCAAAAAGCAGAGAAGAGATTCTCCTGCCACCAAACTCGACACACTCCACACCATGGCTGCGCCTAGAGATTCTGTCCATAAAGGTAATGAACAGAACCTTGAAGTAAAGTTCATTAATGTAAAGGTTTAGAACTGTACAAGGAACAAAGCTGGAGAAACTGTGAAAAACAATGTTTGCCATCTGCCTGCTTTTCTGTCTGCCCATTCAACTTAAAGAGTGAAACAGTTCATCTTCTCCAGCTCCTCCTGGGGGATGTTCTCAGCCCAAAGCAGATACCTAATCCCTGCAGCAGGTTCTCTCCAGACCGAAAGTTGCTGCTGGATTGTCGTAGTGGGGGGTGCTGACGGTTCATTACACCAGCCTGCAATATAACAGCACAGTGCATGCACACCACTGACGTTCCTACACTAGAGGTGTGAATCTTCACTTGTCTACAAGATTCGATTACGATTATTGGGTCAACAATTCAATTTGATTCTATGTCCTGATGCATCACGATTATTTTATATGGATTTGGTGCACGAGCGGGCATTCGGGGGCCACAAAGAGGGGGCCCATGGGCCGGATCTGGCCTGCAGGCCGCCTATTGAGTACCGCTGCCCTAGAGTAATCCATCCCAGGAAGTCTGAGCAGCGTGAACAGACTCTGGATGGAGTGAAGTGCAACAGACCGTCCTGGTTTCATTCTTTTCCTGTGTTTAACATTAGAAACATCATGGCCGCCTCACAACACCCAGAGCGCCTGCCTCTGCAAGCTTTTGACTACCCTGGTGAACATTGCTAGTGGGTTGGACTCAACATCCGCTGAGATCTCAGACTCGGTCTACTCAGTGGAGTAGGGTTTGTCTTGGGCACAAAACTGACCTTTGACCCAGAATAGATTTGAGTTTGATGAAACTTCATGTATAAGAAACATATTCTAAGGCTTTTTTAACAATATAATTTCTAACTATATCAATGCAAGTGTGATCACCTCTCACTTGGACTATGTAAACACTCCTTGTTGGTACTCCTGTTTCAGCCCTGAACCGGCTGCAGGTCATCCAGAACGCTGCTGCTAGGTTTTTAACAAACTCAAACCGACGTAGCCATATCACCCCGGTCCTGGAACTTCTCCAGTGGCTCCTTGTTACCTTCCGTTTATGATTTAAGTAATTGACTTTAGCCTTACACGACTTAGCACCTCCTTATCTGTCCAATCTGCTCACATCTATGTACCCATGCATACGTTCGGGTCAGCTGATCTCCTGCTACTTTGCACCTCCCGGATGTCCTACTAATCACGGGGTGAACAAGCGTTTGTCAATGCTGCCCTCATGCTCTGGAATTCACTTCCCTTTACAATTAGGCAGGCATCCTCTCTGACAGTTTTTAAATATCATTTAAAAACCTGCATTTATGTCTCGTTTATTGTATTTATTGTCTTTTTTATTGTTCTTATTGCTTTTGCTGCTTTGATTTGCTTTCACTACTTTGCATTGATGGTTTTACTTTCATAGGTTTTTTTTTGGTTGTTTTGGTTTTAATGAACTTGCCTGCAGCATTTTGTTCAGCTCTCACGCTGCATTTTGAATGTGCTATATAAATAGTTATCAGAATCTCTTTTCTCTCAGGACGTGTCCCTTTACGGGCCACCACAACTCTTCATCTGTCTCCATGTAGTCCTATCTTCTGCGTCCTCTACCTTCACACAAACTAGCTTCATGTTCTCTTTTACCACATCCATAAATCTCCTTGTTGGCATTCCTCTCATCCCCCTGCCTGGTGGCTCCAACCTTAGCATCCTAAGTTCTTGTCTTGTCATCCTTGTCTCTTCTCTGGACGTGTCCAAACCATCTCAGTCTGTCCTCTCTGACTTCATCTCCCAAACATCTAGCATGAGCTGACCTGATGAACTCATTCCTGATCCTACCACCCTAAAGAGAACCTCAACAACTTGAGGTTTGAAACTTCCACTCCTATCTCCTGCCTCATTCTCATAGACACTGTCTCTAAACCAGACAACATCACTGGTCTCATGACTGTTGATCATCGCGGACCTGATCGACAATAGTAAGTCTCGATCATATGTTAGCAGGGAATCCGCACCAGATAGAGAAAAAAACTATAAAAAACAGCAAATAACCAAAACAGATCAGGAGCCTAGCAGACGCACAGCCACTCATGGGCGACATCTTGCTAAAAGCAACCATCTTGTAAACGCACACGTTTACAAGATGGTTAAAACCCATCAGTAAACGTGTTTTCCAGACAGATCTTTTTCATTTTCTCTTCTCTGTTTTTGGAACTCGTGCTCAACGGCTTTGACAATCTAAGGTTGACTGAGAGGAATAACATCCAGGTTGAACCTGAAATGATGCCAGTGATGCAGGTGTTTTGGGCTGATTTTCATTGTTTCTGTTTCTGAGCCTCTGTCTGGAGGAAACCTGGAGGTTTTGTTGACAGGGAGGATGAATGGAGCGGAATTATCTGACACATGGATGCACAGTCTGCAGTTTCACAGACAGGTGGCGCTATGCTGCAGGCACTCACAGTAACATCTGAACACAATTTGTTTATTTAAGCTGTCCTTTAAAACAAAAGTGTGCACATGAATACGACTGTGTGAGGAGAACGTGTGAGGAAGGTTTTTTTTTCAGTCAGAACAGAATTTGGGACAGCTGATCCTAAGTATAGCACATCCCCCTGTGAACGGTGGCAGACTTGGAGTTCATTTGCCTGTGAAACGGTTTGTAGAGGATTTGAGATTTTTCTGCACCTTTCTGAGTTGGACCTGCAGCTCTGAAGATGCTGAGAGGCGCCGATACCCCGGAAATGATGTTTTATCTCAACAGTCTGTACAGGGAGCCCAGGAAAGTGGTGCTCCACAAGGGCTCCACAGGCCTGGGCTTCAACATTGTGGGTGGCGAGGATGGTGAGGGTATCTTCATCTCCTTCATCCTAGCAGGAGGGCCTGCTGACCTGAGCGGAGAACTACAGCAAGGCGATCAGATCATATCGGTAAGAGACACGCGTGATGCTGATTCTGAAACTCACACAGTCTTCAGGTAAAAACGTTCACCTTCACTCTAAAAGCTGGAGCTTCTAACAAACCTGACAATGTGAAATGACTCATATGTTCTGTGTTTAACTAGGTTTGTGTTTGATGCCTTCTGACAGCTCCTTTCTGTCTCAGTTATTCCGCTTTTATTCCCATGCTGTTGTATTCTATGCAGCCTTGGGTTTTTTCTACACACGCAAAGCCTCTTAAAGCACTTTAGCCTTGTTTTAGAAAATGGTTCATTTATGAGAATCACAGAATCAGTGGCACCCTCTGCTGATCAGTCAGTCTGAGACATGAAAAGACTCAAAGTAAAGGTTAAATTATCATTCAGCTTTACTCAGAGAAGCTGATGGTTAATTTAAAGAAACACCTGATAATAAAATGCTTGCTCGGATCTCTGGGAAACAGTCAGCTGGTAGAACCTCGGCTCAGAACCCAACAGGGTGGAGCTGCTTGTAGCTAATATGCTGCACACATAGAATCAGCTTCCGCATGACCTCAAATGTGCTCCAACATAGAAACTAAAAAATAATAAAAACCTTCATGTATTCATCAGCCTTAATAAATGTTTGTTATGCTGCACTTTCTGCTGCAACTGCTAACCTTTTGACTTTGCCTTTTGTCTGTTTGTTGAATCTGAAATTAATATCTACATTTCTTTGATTGATTTACTGTTTGCTGTTCTTGCTTCAGTAAATCACTTTGAATTGCCTCTGTGTTTGAAATGTGCTTTACAAATCAAGCTGCATTGCCTTGTTTTATTTGACCTAAAACGCAGGATCCAAACGGATAAAAACAAACTGTAAAAATAAAACAATGGAAATGGTGGCCTCTAAACCGCAGAAAAGAATATAAAACTGTTTAGAAAAGCTGAGACATGGACAGCTCCATCCGGGGGACAACTTGCTGTAAACAAAGACACTCTGAAGCTAATGAGTCAAATAATATTTCCAAATATTTCTACATCAATCCATCCATTCATACATACAAACATACATACATTTATTCATCCATCCACCCATTCACCTATCCATCCATCCTGCTATCCATCCATCCAGAGTCTGAGTCATGGTGCTTGATATTGTTGATGTTCTTTGGTGAGGGGAGGTGTGTGGGAGCCTTTTGGAGCTGCAGTAGAGCCTTGTGTTTGAGCACGGAGCTGTTCTGTGGTGGCTAAGTTTTCTCCTGACTGGTGAAAGGGGCATTATGGAAGTTTGACAGCCACAACATGTATAGAAATAATAAATTATTCTTCATACATTCTCCTGCAATGCCCTGGTCCTGTAGAATGAGCCCTGGCATTTTTACTGTGATTGCCTGTTTTTCTGTAAAATCACAGGAAAAGAGAGCTGCTCGGGTCGAGCAGGCTGCTTCATGCGCGTTCACGCTCAGGCATCGCCCGTAGCATTTGCTATCAGTAGCTTTAGCAGCAGAGAGAGAGGCAGTGCCAACTCAGCGACTTTGTCGCTGTTCCTAACGCCTAGTGATGAACCTAGCTACATTTCTGAGGACCCTTAGTTAATTTCTGTAGAACTTTCTTCTAGATATTTCCAGAAAATTAGCAACAAAATAGCCATTTTTGCTCCGAACTGTTCTTTGAACATTGTTTCGGCTGTCATCAAGGATATAAATGTTACAGATACAAAGGACATCACTGGTGATTTAGCTCACCTAGTAAGATGGCGGACTCTCATGCGGAAGACCTGGGTTCCATTCTGGATGTGAACATAGTTTATTTAGTTTATTTTTTACATTAACGGTATATTTTTTTACAGTAAGATGCCAACATTTTTATTTGAGACTCGCCGAACGGCATTGAGTTCACAGATAAAAAAGATGTGGGTTCAACTTTCATTTTGGAACAATTTTTCAAGCAAGGGAAGGGAATGATCTGAGCATGCAGGAGGACTGACTCATCTTAAACCTTTGTCAGCTGTGCTGAAGAGAAAGGTACAGAACCAAATTATTTAATTAATTAGCTGCACGTTCTCTTGTCCGCTGTCCTCCGGGCCACACAAAACACACACACACACACACACACAAGGGACTGTCTCAGCTGTTATTTTTGTTAAGGAGTGTGCACGTACAGCATGCGCACCTCGTGCACGAGCCTGCTATTGAAGCTGCCATTACGCTTTTGGCCTGAGGGGGCAATCGCAAGCATAAAAATTCAAAACTCCATAAAGTCCCTTTAAGAACAGGACTCCGTAATCCAAACCCCTAAGCCTTTTCAGGAGATTCAGATGCTACTGTGCCTTCCTGTTACAAACTCTAGATGGAAGTCACTTGTGGTAGGAGGGGTAACATAATAACTTGAGTGAAAGGGGTGAGTACCAATAAAAATGTATTTTATTAGCAAAAGGAGTAAACACAAATTCTCAGTCTTTGACGGAATTGAAAACGAAACTAAGGAACTATTCACTCTCTTTAACTAAATGAAGGTGACGAGAAGTAATCAAAACACCTGAAGCAAAAGGCCTCAGGGAAGAAACAATGAAGGTACTTTATCAATAATTAACGAAAAATGACGGAGCTAAATAAAACCAGAGGAAAAATAACAAATCTCGATGGCTAAATATTATTCTAATTATAAAAGGAAAAGTGAGCTCTAAAGAGGAAACGGAATGGAAATTCACGCTTTAAGAGCAGACAATAAATATTTACAAAAGGATCACAAAACAAAAATGGTGCTAGAACAAAAGGATTTTAACTAAAAGAACTACTTATCTTAACAGTCGAGTTACCAAAGTTCTAAATCCTACATGAAACCGTTTAATAGAGATCCAAGGACAGAGGAGAGAAGGACAGGGTGTGAAGCTGTGGTTCTCTCTACGAGAACTGACAGCTGCTATCTTTTAACCCTCCCACTGTCTTCATGGGTGACCCCGCGAGGAAAGTTGATCACTGAGCAAAATAGATGGTTTATCCCTTGAGGTCCACGTGGCAGGGGTGAGGTGGTGCTCACTCCTCACCCCTGCCACATGGACCCAAGGGATAATCCATCAACCCTGCTCAATGGTCAACTTTCCTTGCGGGGTCACACCCATTAGGACAGTGGGAGGGTTATGCTCTCATCAGCTGATGGCTTTCAGCTGAGGTGGTGAAGGCAGGCAGAGGGGGAAAAGCCAGCCTGACTGAGGACCTGTCCTAGGTCCTGAACACAAAAGGGGGCAGAGCTGGGCCTTTCAGGAAGCAGGAGTCCAGCATCTGTAACACTTCCCTACCTGGTTTTATTATTGGGGAATTCTAGAGACTTTTTTTATTTTGGTATTGTTGGACCTATTGGCTGCATTCAATACTGTGGATCATGCTCTCCTTTTGTGGGTGTTTGTGGGGTTGCGCTGGATTGGTTTGTGTCGTACTGACTGAACCTTCAGGGTCTCATTGTTTTGTTTTGTTTTTACTTCATTCTCTTGCGGGATTCCCCAGGGTTCTGTGTTGGGCCATTCTTGTTTTCTTTGAATCTGCTACCTCTTGGTTCGATTTTTTAAAAGCATGGGTGTCATTTTCACTGCTATGCAGATGGTACCCAGGTATGCGTGCCTTTTAAAAGGGACCACAATCATGCTTTGCAGCCTCTTTTAGATTGTCTTGTTGAGGTTAGGCAATGCATGTTCTCTAACTTCCTTCTTTTTAGTGATAAAAATACAGAGATTGTAGTTTTTGGTTCAAGTACTTTGTCTAGGGTGGGTGCAGTGGACCTTGCTCAGCTTGCCCCATTCTTGAAACTGAGCGTGACTTCCCTGGTTGTTGTACTGGATAGGGATTTTGTCTTGGACAGGCAGATCAGTGCAATGACTATGTTATTGTTTTTAACACAAGTTTAACTGTTTTGAAAACAGTATGTGAGCACATGCAAAATGTCATGTGCGTACAAAGATTTTTGGCAGTTTTGTCTGAGTGAGAAAAGAAATCAGGAAATTTGAGAGATGTAGTCACTGAATGCTTTTTGTGCCAAAACAATGATAATTGATCCTCAGTTTAGCAAACATAGTCTGTAAAAAACTGTAAACTATAGATTAAACACCATGTCTTAGATCTGCAGCTGATGCTTGAAGCACTTCTGTGTTCTCTGTGCATTATTTTTGTTTTGTGCTTCATTTGGTGGTCTTGTCCATCTGCTTGAGTTTAAAATATTCCCACACTTTGGGAACTTTTGGCTTTTTCCCTGGATCGTCATCCTTTTGCATTTGCCCTGTTGCTAGTGCTGCTAACTGTAGTATCTGCTGGGGCTGCAGAACAAGCGTTCTTGTGTCAGGTAACCAGAAGGCCACACCAGAAGTAGATTTTTAACCTAGAAGTGGTAAAAAAAAGTAAAAAAAAAAAAAAACTAAAACGTCAATTTAAAAAGTTTAAATTGAACATTTTTTATAATCAATTTAATCGAATCACTTGAGCATTTGTTTCAGCCCCACAGCAGAGCACTGCTAACATATATAGAGGTGTAGTGGAGAGTTCAGGGGAAGTTCTGTTCAGAGATTAATGCTGCGTGTGTGTTCGCCCCTCCTGCTGTAACAGTGTTCATATGGATAAAGTTACTGCCGGCCTCCTTTCTACCAACTAGAAAACAGCAGTAAAAAAGTTATTTTTTTCTTTCTTTCTTTTCTTCATGAAGAGCAATTTGTCATGATTCATTTAGCTGTCGTTTTCTTGTGTTTGGAGCATGTTAGAAAGGCTTAAATGATCTTGTAGCCCAGGCTCAGCTGATTTTTAGAGGTGCAACATGATGATATCTACACTTTATTTTTTTCTAATTGTTCATCTTAAAAAGCAAGTCACACCAAAATCAACTTTTTTCGGAATGGTTGTGATTGTGTAACATAAATGAGTAAGTTATTACAGCATAATTTCCTCATGGGGTGTTTTTATAACTTTCTCTACAGCAGACAGTAACTTTAGCTCAGGGTAGGTGGCCGTGAGAGCTGCTATTTAGCACGTTTCAGTGATTTTTCTGCTTTAACATGTTAGATTAGCTGTTCAGCAGCTCAGCAATTTGCTGCTGATTAAAATCAGGTGTGTTGAAGCAGATAAACCTCTGAAACTTGCTGGATAACAGCTCTCTAGGTCCGTGGGGCCGAAGGCTGCAGCTAATCTAATGCCATGGCTAATGGCTACCTACCATTTAGAGCTGGTTCTGTTGGGTCAGCTCCGGTAGTTTCAGGCAACTCACAAGCTCAAAACAATAAGGCTCAGGTCCGCTTGTCCCCTCCAAATAGACTTGGTCCCTTTCTTCTCGAGTGTCTGGGTAAGGAGTTCGGAGAAACGTCCTCCACTTCTACTGACTGCTCAGAGTGAAAAAAGCTAGCTTCGCCTCATTACCCATCTGTCTTTGTCACTGCCGCGGCTCCGCCCTCTTGGTACGCCAGGCAAAGCCTACTAATGTTGCAATTTTTAAAACTGATGTGTGGGTGGAGAAGGACTCTGAGGCAGGCTTGACAACCCCTTTAATTAACGCACTAAGTTCCCAACCCTAATTTGAATCTACCCTGTCCTCTAAAAACTGGATGTCAAAACACAACTTAAACAAGGTTAAACAGCTTCAGGACAACAGATGTGTGTCATGGTGCCACCAGGTCTTTGTCACAACCTTTAAGTGATGATCGTGTGATCTGACTTGTTACTCCTACAGGTTAATGGTACTGACCTTCGAAGAGCCACACATGAACAAGCAGCAGCAGCACTGAAGGGTGCCGGGCAGGTGGTCACCATCGTAGCTCAGTACAGACCTGAAGGTGAGTCAATAGCAACCCGCCAGTTAGGTTCCTACAGCCCCACACTGTGTGTGTGTGTGTGTGTGTGTGTGTGTGTGTGTGTGTGTGTGTGTGTGTGTGTGTGTGTGTTTCTTGCAGAGTATGGGCACTTTGAGGCCAAGATCAATGATCTGCGAGGGCAGTTGATGAACCACAACAGGAACTCTGGATCAGGTCCCCTGGAAACAAATCACAAGAGGTCCCTTTATGTCAGGTTGGTCTGTTTAAAGTCATTACTAAGTTTAGGTTTTCAAATATAATTCAGAGAAACTATATTAGTGAGCTCTAATGGAGCTTGCGTAAGGCAGCAGACCTAATTAGTGAGGTGATGTGTGTGTGTGTGTGTGTGTGTGCGCGCGCGTGTGTGTGTGTGTGCGCGCGCGCGTGTGTGTGTGTGTGTGTGTGTGTGCGTGCGTGCGTGTGTGTGTGTGTGTGTGTGTGTGTGTGTGCGTGCGTGCGTGTGTGTGTGTGTGTGTGTGTGCACAGAAAACAGGTCTGTGTCAGAAACGTGAGAGTACGTCTAATTCTAGAAACCCCCGAGATGCTTTCTCTGACCTTCTAAAGCTTCTGTATCTCTGATCTAATAAAAGAACAGGAACGATGGTTATCATCACCTCTTTAGGGCTCTTTTTGACTACGACAAGTCAAAGGACAGCGGGCTTCCGAGCCAAGGGCTCAGCTTCAGGTTTGGGGATGTTCTCCATGTCGTCAATGCCTCTGATGATGAGTGGTGGCAAGCACGTCATGTCACCCCACACGGAGACAGCGAGGATCTGGGGGTCATCCCCAGCAAGAGGAGGTGAGAACTTCAGAGGACATTCACACAAACACGTTTCAGAGAAATCTTTTTTTATCATGAGTAAAAACATAAAACCTTGGGTTTACTGGTGGAAACTAAACATGTGGTTCTGTGTTGAGATTTAATCATGTTTACAACACTTGGGAATTACAGACACAGAAACCCAACTCAGCCTCACCTGGTTGGTGACCATGTGCCTCTCTGCAGGGTGGAGAGGAAAGAGCGTGCACGTCTGAAGACCGTGAAGTTCAACGCCAAAACAGACTCCTCTGACTCTACAGGGGTGAGTGCACTGACCAAAACTAACAAACAAATAATTCACCTAGTCATAATAAACATGATTAAAATTTCTCCTAAATAATCAAATTAAAATAATAATGAAGTAGTTGTATATTCTACAATGTTAGTGTACAAAGGCCTGATAAAGAGGAAAGGTGAAAACATTTTTATTTCTTTCTGAATGATGTGGAACGTGTTTGAATGTATTTTCAGATATTTTACTTGAATGTTAATTTAATTTATTTATGCTCATGCTAATGTCCCAGGCTGCTTTGGCCACACCCTGCTGAATGAAGGTTCTCTGTGAGGATGAGTGGGTTTTCTGGTTTCCTCCCACAGACCACACCCGCTCATGTTGGGTTATTTTTGATAAAACTGGCCCCCAGGTTTGAAAGGAGCTGTGATGGGAGGTGGATATGTTCCATCTCGGGTTAGGAGCAAGGCCAGATTAACCATATGGGCAACTGAGCAATTGCCCAGGGGCCCACAAACTCTAAAGGGCCCAGGGCAGCAAGGGCACGAGCAAAATACTTTATCTGTAATCTCCCGCTTTATGTTAAACTAGGGTGACCATACGTCCTCTTTTCCCCGGACATGTCCACTTTTCACTCTCTGTCCGCCCGGGCGTCCGGGGGGTTTCTTGTATTGATGAAAATATCCGGTTTTTCATCCAGGAGCATGGATCGAATTATGGGGGAGCTGGAAAAAACGTTTTCTACCTATATTACATCATTTATGGCCTCTTCTGAGCGGAGAGCACATATAGCGATGATCGTTGTTGAGCAGCGATCCAGGCAGCTGCGTCCAGCACACGGTCCATTCTCAAAGTGGCGCAACCAAAAAACTATAATTAACACATGATCGTTCATGTCCACGTATGTTCTCTACTTTCTGTCTTATTTGTGCCTGAAGCGCTCTGCTACTGCGGAGCTCATCACCTGTGCTGCGGTGATTTCACCTCACTGACGCAGCATCGAAACACGCTCTCCGCTTTGCGGTCAGGAGATCCCTTTGATCTGCTCAAAAGTAACTGATGAGGTGAAAAAGTAAGAATCCAGGCAGCAGTTTTTCTGGAGAGTTTAGATGAGATGCAGGATGATGAGAGACAGACAAGACAGGAAAATAGTTAAAAACAAGAAAACAAAACTAAGTGTTGAAAAGTAAAATGTCGGTAGATTTATCTCCACTACGTGTTTCTACCTGTATAAAACAATAAGTAATACACATGTAATATTTATACATCTGATACAATTCAGATCACCTTCAAAACTCAGTCACACGCCCAGGGCCGTTTCAAGGCATTTCAGGGGCCAAGGCAAAATGACCCCCCCCCCCCCCCCCAATAAGTGGGCTCCCCAGAAGCATCTGTGTAATCCATACCCTCTCCAGTAGTGTTAGTTATACAGTGTTTATAAAAGCTCCTCAGACATTACTGACATGTTCTAATATTATCAGATGAAAAACTAAATTATCAGACATGCTGTCTCATCTGCTTCTTTTATAAACTTGCTAAAAGTAGCAAAACCATTTGAAAGCCACTATTTGTGGATTCTCTGAAAGTTTCCATGGAGTGTGTGACAACTTATTTTATCATTGATCCTATCGTCTAATCTCACATCTGAAACAAGCATCCTTAATAATCTGTGCACAGTAAGCGTACCGATGCTGTAGTAAAACAAAAGGTATAATAATTTATTATTAACACAATCTTGTTGCAGCACTAAAGCAGAAAAATGAGATTTTGCAATAAATATGCAAATTATTTACATATGAATTGTTTTAGAGCCCTTTTATTGGCAGAATCTGAAATTAATTTAGTTCATACAAAAAAAATGGATCCCAACGTGGTTTGTGTGGCGTTGCCATAGTGTGACGTCATAGGCACAGATCCCCTGTCCTCTTGTTTGGAAATGGAAATATGATCACCCTATATTAAACAAACTGTCCACCCGGGCTTTTGCGCTGCACAGAGACGCTTCGCTGCCTACGACTGAACGTCAGTTGAGAGTCGGTCTCATGCAGACTGACCAATGAAGAGAGGGCCTCAAGTTAAGACCCTCTCCTCATTGGTCAGTCCACACGAGGTGGGTCAAAGGTTACCCTGAGCGGGTTACGTGATGTCAGGCATTCAAGTATTGAGTATATTTACTGCATATTACAGTAAAATATTCTGTATGTGACCATATTATGGTGATCCTTGGGTCGTGATGATGGGGCCCTTTAATATTGTTGCCCAGGGTACAACAAAGTGTTAATCTGGCCCTGGCTAGGAGGATATCTAAAGGTGAAAATTTACATGTAAACCAGTCAGCTGGGAATAATCCCAGTCATGAGTCTTTTTTTTCCCATATGTAGAAATATTCCGACCCAGTTTTCCCTCAGTCTTCCAGGTCCCAGCCCAACAGTTATGTCGTGTTAGCTCCCCCTGCTGGCTGTGTGCTGTTTGTACAGGGGCAGACTAGTAGACTTATTTTGTTTCTGTCTCCTTTTATATTTGACTCTCTTCGAACCGCCTACAGGATGTCCTGGGAGATGAGGAGTATGGGACACGAACATCCAGTAAGCAGACCGTCTCATAGCCTGGATCTAGTGGTGACTGTGAAAGTTCACTTTTACAATCAAGTTAAAACAGCTTTCTGGTTTAAAAAGGAAGTTTATTTGTCTGACAGCAAAACAATTAGAGATGTGTCTTCCAACAGGGCATCCTCCACACTCACACAAAACAGTCAAAGACCACAAGACCGTATGTAGGCTACATCCAAAATGCCAAATGATGCTTACCAAACAATACAATCATTTATGGCTTACTGTGGTTGCTGTTGAAGAAGATTTTTTATGCATGTCCACATAAAAAGGAGCATTTTACACATTTGTTCCTCACAGAATTCATTAGTCACCCAACAGATTATCTCTAACAAGCAGGTGTGAAGAATAATGGGAAAAAAGGGAATGCTGCAGAAAATAATGATTAATGCTTGTTCTGCATCAGATGCAGTTAGATGAGCTACTGATACAGTAAAACATAATAGGAGCTATAAAATCAGAAGATGAAATTGTTTAATATCACAAAACCATAAAGTGCAGTCCAGTGTAAAACCAGCCCACGGTGTTTAGTGGACCAGAGTGTCTTCGGCATCGCCTTGTGAGGCCAGCTGCCTTGACATTGAGAAACAGCCAGAGTTAATGACCGGGCCCAGGGGTGACCTTTAACCCTGACTGGTGCTCCTCAACCCAACTGTGGGATTCTCACAGCTTTATTTCGACCCTGATCCCTGCCAGCCTCTGTGACAATTAAATAACCGTGATCTGAATTTTCTTTTGTTTGTTTGAAGTAAATAAAATAAATGTTATTCTGCTGTCCTGTTGCCTGCTGATAATTTCATGAATATCAGACAAATGGACTGAAGACTAAGACTATAAATTTGATGTGAAAATTCGCTCTGATGATTTTTTTTCTTCGCCAGGAATTCAAGACGAAGCAGTGATCTCATACGAGCCTGTGTTGTGGCATGAAAGTAAGGAAAAACACACAAGTGGAACCTGCTCAGACAATAACTCCTGGAGTTATGAGCACTCATGTTTTTGATGTTTTAGGGACTGAAACAGGGTTTGTCAGCATTAGAAACAAAACTCGTTATTTTAAAGGTTTTCTGAGTTATACAGAAGCCAAATCAGCCATTGATGTTATGACTGCCTCCTGCAGCCAACAGACAGCTACAGCTAGATGAACCAGGATCTGGTACTCAGAGCGAAGTGTTCTCTAAACACTGTAAGAAACTGCTTCAAGCGACCAGATACTGGCTTTGCCATTCTGGCATCATGATAACTCTCAAGTGTCGTTGTTGGTTCTGCTGATCTGTTCTAGAACCATCCTTAGACACTATTGCCATTACAATGTTAGCTTTGTTAGCCCCCCAGAGCATGGAGATTTTTATTCGCTTTCGTACTCGAGGTGATGGTTCCTATCAGAGCCTAAATTGTGGTCCACATTTATGGAATGGCCTGTAGACGTCAGAATAAAAGCACATCACAAAACGTACTGTTCTGTACGGTTTTATCACGGCCTTATTGAGGAGGCAGACCGGCCACCACTGTGACGTCATACATAACTAAAGCCGCAAATTAAGAACTTTATGGTGGGATTCAATGACTAACCCCCACCCCACCCCCCCCACCCCCCACCCCCCTTCCTCCCAGTTAACTATGCCAGACCTGTCATAATTCTTGGACCAATGAAAGACAGAATCAACGGGGATCTCATGGCGGGGTTCCCACACAAGTTTGGCTCTTGTGTTCCACGTAAGTAGAACAGTCCTTCATAGTTCAAGTGGTATTTGAGATATTAGTGTGTTTGTGGAAGAAGGTGTGCTTAATGAATAGGTCTAGTAAATAATGGTCTATTCAGTCTTCAACTAAGAATTTGTTGTTTTGTTTACACCACAAGACACAACACGGCCAATGAGGAGCTACGAGGTTGATGGGCAGGACTACCACTTTGTGATGTTCAGACAGCAGATGGAGGCAGACATCCAGCAGCACAGGTTCATTGAAGCGGGGCAGTACAACGATAATCTGTATGGAACCAGTGTCCAGTCTGTAAGGCATGTGGCCGAGAGGGTGAGATTATTGATCACCGCATCAAACTGTAGATTCGTTCACCTTAAGAAGCATCGATATAAACAAGTGGAGTCTTGTGTTGCTGTTTTTGACCAGCTAGTGTCAGTTATTATGGTTCTTCTCTAAATGCAAACATCGTTCCAGGGCAAACACTGCATCCTGGATGTGTCCGGTCACGCCATCCAAAGGCTACAAGTCGCACAACTCTATCCAATCGCCATCTTGATTAAACCAAAGTCTGTTGATTCACTTCTGTAAGTATTTGTGACCCTCAACCACTATAGCAGATGTCCAGCCTACATGTTAATGTGCATTTGTGGTATAGATTTAATCAGCCGAGTCCTCTCAGGACACCACAGGGATAAAGGCCCTATCAGTGTGGAACATAATCATCCTCCTTTTAGAGTAAATTGCAGCGCACATGCACTCACACAGTTTGATGATACTGAGTTGGTGACAGAGCATGTGGCAGGTGTGCTGGACTATATCCGGTTAGTGGTATGGCGGTGTGCTCTCTCCTGGGTCTGGTTGGATCTTCAGCAGGAAGTCTGACTGTCATTTACAACCAAATAACCATGTTTGTCTGACACTTCCAGGGTGTAGACTGCCTCTTACCCTGCATCAGCTTAGATAGGCCCCACCCTTTTGATCCTGAACAGTACAGTGCTCACATAAAAATGAATCAATGGACTTGTGTGATGCTTCTTTCTGTGCAGAAATATGAATAAAAAGCTGACAGAGGAACAGGCAAAAAAGAGTTTGGAGAGGGCAACAAAACTGGAGCAGGAGTTTGGTGAATTCTTCACCGGTAAGAGAATAATTAAGGTCTGTCTGTCTGCCTGTCTGTCTGCCTTCCCAAGAATATATCCTGCACAAACGTTAATTTATTTATAAAATTACACACCTACCAACGGGTTCTGTAAGAAGTTTAAAAGTTTTTGTGTTGTAACCATCTCCTCACACCAGGATGTCCTCCTGGATATTTATTTAGCACATGAGACACAACGGTGACAGACTGAGCGAGGCTTGAGCCTGCGACCTAATGATTGCAGGGACGAGCACGTAACCCCTGTGCCACCGTCGCCCCCAAATTTTTGGTCTTTGGTAATAAATCCTTTGTTGTTGGACACAGTTTACTGAGAGGTACAACTTGTAAGGCCTGTCTAGCTAAACCTGTGAGTTTGACCCCGGAAATGTCCTGCTGTGGAGGAGTCAAGGAGTTTCGCCCACAAGCTAAACTGTTTCCAACTGAGCTCTGAACTCAAAGCGGGCAAAGTACTTCGAGCCCCAAGGCGCCAAACATTTACACACATTTAATTGGTTCTACAGTCCAAACTGGAGTGTTACTTCCTAGTTTTCCCATCAAACTACACCTTTTTTGGCGCAGCCTACAGTTGCAATAACTGATGTACCATTGAAACAGATCACGTGGAATTACTGTTGACTTTTCTAGCCTATCTGTTGGGATTTTACATGGTAATTTATTTTATATTGTTTAATTATATTTATATTTTAATTATCATGCCACACCATGTGTCTGATGTTGTGAAAAAGCACAATAAAGTGTGTTTTTTAGTTGGGTAAGCACCTTCCTCAGTGGAAGTAAATGCACTCGGGGCAAATGGGGCCTTTTCCAAGTTGGCGGCTCGCTGCTATGCCAGCTCCAATAGGCAGCCCCATCCATGGGGTGTCTACGTGTATGATGTCTGTGGTTCCCACTGCAGGCAGCTAATAAGTCACACTTTACTGGGCTCCTACAATCACACTGCTCTGGAAGCTCAGTCATGGTGTGACCCTCTGATGAATCCTTCAGGATGTGGTTATCATCTACCTAGAAAGGATCTGTGAGACCTTTTCCATGTCAAAGACTTCTTACAGAGTGCATGAAAACAAATCTGTTTGTGAAACCGACTCCTACCTACCCCTGTTCTATTTCTTTACCGACAACTGAAATTTCACCTCTTCTTCTGCACTTTTGTAAATCCTCCAGCTTTTGGTTGGTTCCCCAGAATCTCTGGACCCTGTTGCTCCACTGGGACAGCGGCCTTGTTCGAGATGAGCAGCACCTCGCCTGGAAAATAAGAGCAGTTTGACTCAGCAGAGGAGTGGCTAAAAGTTGGCATTTAAGTTGGACAGATTTCCCTGCATGTAGCTTATGGGTGACGATGGCTGAAGATGTCACATTAACATTTATAATAATACATGTGACCAACTAATGTTTCACATTCTACCACTGGATGTTTGGATCAGAATGTGAACCAATCAGATCTTTGGTCAGGTGAGAGCCAGGCGTTTCCCGTCATGCTCTAGGTTTTGCAGCCAGTGGAGAGCAACTGCAGCGCCTTGCTCCAAAATCTGCAGTCACCTTTATCTCATGAGGTTATCGTTGCCTACGATGTCAGAGCAAGTCGGACACAAATCTGACCGGCGTGCACTGCGCACCGATCGCCTGTGATCTAATCTGCACAGAACTGGCTCATCTCGAACATGGCTGTTGTTACGTAGACAACTGGAAGCAGTTACTTTTTCCACTGGGAACTTAATTATTCTGATGATGGAGGCAACAGTGAAGCGACTCACATTGGGCTAGACTCGTTGCTCCGCCTTCCTCATGGTCATACCATGGACAAGGACACGGTCAACTAAAGTGGCTCGAATTTCATCCGAGACCACTTGTCTCCTTGCTCTTTATGTTCCCCCTACCCCCTCCTCCCTGATGTCCTGGACCTCCTTCTCCTCCTCCTCCTCTTCCTATTCCTCCTCTACCAACTCATCTTGCACCTCCTCTACCTCCTCCACTCTGGTGTCCTAGACCTCCTTCACCTCTTCCTTCGCATCTCTTTGGATCCATTGTTTCAAACCTGAATGAGCTAACTTTGGCCCTTTTATCTATCCATCAACATTTCTGATTGGTGTGTGATAAATTGCCAGCTTAGAGGTCGTCTCAAACAAGCTAGAACATCTGTAATCACAACAAGAGTGATTAAGTCACAGCAGGTGATTTCACATGTAATAAGTCAGAAACACTTGTCTTTGCAGGAATGTTAGAACGAGTCAGGTGTGAGGACTGTCTTGTAACGGATAAGTTCCTTGAGCTAACCGTTTCTCTGATGTGTAATGGTTCAGAGGATCGTTGGTGAGCTTTCTTACCTTGCGTTAGTTTGCTAACACAAACACTCTCCCTCTCATGAGGAACACGCACACCGCGTCTCTTTTCTATCTTCATCTTCATCTTGTTCTGATTAGCAGGAACGTTGCTAGACAGATCAGTAATAGCAACAGGAGGTAGAGCACACAAGCAAGTCTGCATTTTTCAGTCAGTAAGCCCCCTTCAGACAGGCCATGAAAAACGGAAATGTTCCGGAATCTGTCCGTAAGACCTTTCTGTCTGAATACAAACATCCGGATAACGTGTTCCGGAATTTATCCGGACAAAGCCCCTAGTAACAGGTCCGTACTTGTTACGGACAGGGTGGCTGCTTCAGACTAGTGAACATGGACGTAATTTTTGGGGGGGGGCATGTCCACCCCACTTTTTCCAAAGTCAAGGTTTGACCACTGCACTTTTTACCATCCAAAAACAATATTACGCTATATTAAATTGACACTAGTTGAGCTCTAGGACCAAGCAGAAAACAACCGTTTGTGTTGAAGCCTGTTTCCCATTAGAGCATACTGTAAAGATTCACACACACCCCTCCCCACTCCATGTCCCCCCCACTTCTAAAGTGAAAAATACGTCCATGCTAGTGAGGTAAAGTTCCGGACAAGAGGGAGGGGGAGGAGGAGGGGACCGGGGGACGCTGTGCGCACCTATATAGCCCGCTGCTGTAGCATGCAGCGAACCACGGCAGCTCGCCTCCTACGGTACCGACTAGACGCGCGACGGAGCGCTTCACACCGCTTCAGTGATTCCTTTAACCATTGAGCTTCATCATCCAGGTCTCTTATGCGTCTTCGTGTGCGCAGAATTATGCTTAAGCGCCTCGTGATTTTTATCTTGAGAGGCGCTATAGAAATGATATTTTCTTCTTCTTAACATAATGTAACACGTTAAAGGACCAGGTGTCCTGACTGCAACTTCACAGACAGTGAGCTATCAGAAGTAGTTTCGACTGTGGAGCCTGAGTGTGTGAATAAAACACAGGAACCCAAAATAGAGCTCAAAATATATATATATTATGCATATATAGACAGATATACAAAAACTATAACCACATACAACACAGACAAAAAAAATATGGTGACAATACAAAACAGCTTATTAAATCCCAAAAGGAGGTGGGATGAGGTTTAGTCCAGTATGAATTCAACTTAGGTGCATGGGCCTGGGATAGGTCATGTGTTAACCATTTTTAGTCCAAAGGTTTGCAAATCCTACCGCAACACAGCGGTGGTCGGGTGGCTCGCCATCCCGCGCTGATCAGGGCTGATCACGGGGAAAAAAAAACCTGACCTAAACAAGGTCAAAAACATAATTGATCATTCACAGAACAAAATAAAACAGTGTTCTACTACTATGACAAATAAATTAAATAATAGATTAAATAATAATTAAATAATTGATGCCATATGTTATACAACAATCAATGAACCAATAACCAAACAAATCATATCATCTCTTATAATGACTATCATTCAAAATACCATTACAAAATAACATCATCATGGGTCCCATCAAAGTACATCAGCAATAAAGCTAATAAGTTAATCAAACATATTCTTCTCACATAATCTCAGGTGTTGCGCAACAAGTTCAATTATCTAACCGGGGTTTACTCAATGCAAAAGTCGCATTGGCCGTTTTGGCATTTAATCAGAAATGTAACCAAAACGGACCAAACTACCAAAACTACCAAAATCAAATCACTCGTTCAACTCTTGATACGTTAATTTAACGTTCGGCCAAAGTGGAATAAACAAAAACAACAAGGTTTGATGACTACAACTAGAAGGTTTAGTTACTGTTACTAGCCTAGCATTAGCTTACCAGCATTCTAGAATGCGTGACCGCGGCTCCGTACTTTCATTATTTATGACCAAACAAAACAAACAAAAAACTCACCGTTGAGTTGATTGTGAGGTGGTGTATAAATGAATGAATCGGCCGGGTTATTGCACGCTGTCAGCTAGTATGCCGTGTAAAATCTGTCAATATCTGACAAGTACGCCAACCACAGGGAAAACAGCAGCCAGGTAAACAGGGAAGAGGCAGCTGATTTACCCGGAACTTATACAGGGTTCGTTCCCGCCACAATAAAAGGATTGGCGGAAATGGGGTCAGAAGTTATTGTTGTTACACTCTCCCCCCCTAATCCCATGGACGTCCTTGTACATGGACTAGGCTGGCAGCGAATCACCGGCTGGCTGAGGTGTGAAGGCACCACCCCCACGTCTTCATCGTCTTGAAGAGCGAAGGAAAAGACAGAACTTAACCCATGTAAAAGGGTCTGAATGCTCTTCAACAGAGGCTTACCAGGCTTGACGTACTGCAGCCGATCAGGAGGATTCCTGGCGCGGGTCGAGTGCCTCAAGGGTGGTTCTGCCTCAGGACTCAGGGAGTCCGTTCAGTTGGTGAGTCTTGTGACAAGGCAAGGCTGGATGCTTCTTGTGCAACCGGATCAAAAGATAGACATCCGTCATCGTGAGAGGTGTCTGCAAGAGCAACCGGCTCAAAGCCAGCCCCCAAAGATTCGTTATCAATAACTTGTTCCTCTTCAACAGGTACAGGTAGAAGTCCCTCTGAGAGACTAGTGATCTCTTCCTCTGTAGCCAATGCTACAGGGACATCCGTCTGGCTGGTAACTG